TTGCTTTAGTTTTATTTGTTCAACTAGCGAGAAGTTTAAACTAAATGTGCCTATTGAATAGCAGAAGGCCTTGTGCTCCGCCGAATGTGCACGATGAATTTGTAAGTGCAATGACGGTGTTATTGTGACAGAATTGAAATACGACGAGCATTTATTAGCATCTAACATAAGAGGCCAAGCCAGAGCATTTTCAGCTATGCCTTAGACTAGGGTATATGTCCGTCCTCTGTTGTCATCATCGAATTTGCAGTTTACGGACAGAACAAAATGACAAAGAGTCTAGAAAACAAATATTTTCTCCTCATATTCTTATCACTTTTACCCTGGCAGTATATCCTACAAATTAGACTGTTAACATTCAATAAAATGATTGTATCAGCAGTAAGTTATTATCATTGTTTCGACTGTTTTTTTCCATTCATTGTCAGAAAGGTTTCGTTTTTTTTTTTTTTTTTTTTTTTTTTTGTAATCTTTTCATCGGATTATTTTTAATCACTTTTTTCATGATTGAAACTCACATATAAATTGAATTTAGGCTAATTATTCTGATGACTAGCTTACGCTTTTTTAAATTCCCGGCGGATCGGAGTTTTTCTTTGAAATCTTCAAATCAAATATTTGATATTTATTTTACCATTTTTCTTTTCTGTATTGCTTCAACTAGAGATTGATTCTGAAAATTACTAGAACTTCGGTTGTCCAGTACAGTCATTTTGTTTTCTTTTTTTCCAATCTTGTTTATTCAAATATCATGATGAGTCGATACTTTTTAAAGAAAATATTTTTTGAGAAGTATTACTTAAACTTATAATGCTATGCATAACTTCATACCTGAAGAAATGATGTCATTAAGAGGAGTGAGGGAAGTGATTTATAAAAAAAAAAAAAAAAACCGATATTTCGATGCCTCTATCTCTTCACTAAAAAAGGTAGAATTGTGCAAACTCATCTCTTATTCTAACTCTATTTTGTCAATTAAAGTCAAATGTCAAACTACCAATAATTAAATTTATCATTGTATTTTTATCGCTATTTCATCACTTACTACTTATAATCTTTCTATCTTTATGGTACCAAATTATTAAAACTACCATGACACACATTTTTCGAAATTTCATTATTTATCCATTTTCTTACTGCTGTGTTTTAATTATATCAATCATAATTTTTTTATCAGTGACGCTATTGACAAATTTTATTTCTCAGTAAAAAAGCCTATTAAAGAAAATTGATCACCTAAATGTCATCATCGGTCTAAATGAAAAATTTTTCTTACCATTTGAATGTTAATAAATATGGAATGTTTTTCCCTGAAAAGATTTTTATTCGAAAGAAAATGGAAGAATTGAAAGACTCTTAACAGGAACTCTCGAGAAATGCAATTCCGCAAACTTCCCAATCTCTTCCTAAGTTTATTACTCTAGAAAGTACTAAGAGCTCGCAAGCATCATCAAACATAACTATTCTTAATTTAAATCAGTAATCTTTCTAGATTCTTCTAACCTGTACCTCGTTAAAGAAACAAATTTGTTATCCAAAATTTCCTAAATTTTTTAAAATTAATGTGGTAATGCTTTATTATATCAACATATCTTATCAATAGATTAATTTTGACTTTATATTTAATCCTATGTTAGAAGAATATATTCATATGTGTGATATGATGTAAGAATGTTCATTATATGAATCAATCGTTGGAAATATATATTTATTCGATGTGTGATAACTATATTCAAACTAATATCAGAATCATACTAAAAGTTCAGTTTGATAATTTAGCAATTGAAAAAAATCAAATTAATCCAAATTTTCAATTCTGCATAATTTTCATTTCCCAGTGCAGTTACATAACAGGGAAAAAGGGAAAAAGTGGAATTAATCCACTTCATTCAATATAACTTTACAAGAATAAAAAGGAAGAAAGAAAAAAAGAAAGAGAGAGAGAGAGAGAGGAAATGCATTAGGTAGAAAAATGTAATATATTTTTCAGCAACAAATGAAGCAGCAATATGATATAATGCAAGAAGCTTAACAACTAATTTATTCAAGGATCATAAATAATTGCCGATATGATATGAGAGATGAGATGATTATGATCAATGTCATTTAGTCATTCATTTCATCTTTTTGACAAAATAAGTGAAAGAAAAAAAGTTTCATTGTTTTATGATCATTTCATTTTTTCATCTTATGTAGATTGCTATGAATTTCCATTTGGTCAACAAAATTTTCAATTCATTTCATTGCTTTCTTCCTTTTTCCATTGCATAAGAATTGGCGCAATTGAATGGATGGAAAAATTAAATGCTTGTTTTGTTAAATTAGCCTATTTAGTTAAGCTATAATAGAATAATATGCTTCGAAAATCAAAGTGTTAGGGAAACTTAAACATGCAAAACAATGCAATGCAAAGAAAGCAAATTAATTAACTTATTTATTGATAAAGAAATTTCTCTGTCTTCCTCCTTTCAGATAATATGTCAGATGATAAACTAATTTTGTTACTTGACAACAAGCTTGTCAATCAATTTATAACTCTCAGAAGATGATTGTTAGTTCAGTTCTAATTCAATACAATTGAATAATCTTACATTTGTGAAAACTGATATTTGAAAATTCTTTGAGAATTTTCATATTATATTTAAAACTAAAAAAATATGCACAAAAAGTTGACATTTGTTAATAATTTCCGATTTATATTTTGCAAGTTCAAATTCGATCACTTATCGATAAAGAAAGTATTTTTTTGAACCAAATATGAATTACAAATGGATGGTTAATGAAGTATGCTATGTGTTTAGCTTATGAATTATTCAGTACTTTCTCCAAAGTTTAGTAAATACTTACTGATTGATTTTCATCTTCTCTATTTCCTTTCTCTTTCTCTTTTCCCTACTTTTCTTTTTTGACTAATTAATGAAAGGAAAAATTCATTTCTCATTTTGAATTTTTGTCAAGATAAATTTATTGATTCGGATTTCAAATTTAATTTAAACATTATTTATGAACTAAATGCAAATATGTTCCTTATTAAACCATTTTTCGTTTTTTTTCTTTTTTATTCTGCTAATATTTAATTTCAAATTAATCCAATATTTTAATTAATGTCATCATATTCCACAAGTTAGAAATAATGAAATTTGCGTGCTTAAACCCCACAATATCTCTCAATTAACTGTCATATATAATTAATGATGACAGTAATCATTTAAGGATTCATATCTGTGACAACATGTAAAAAACCGTACCAAAAAAGGTCGTTACAACCAGAATAAACTTATACTTTTTATACGACACTGAGCTAATTTTCGCCAATGACATTGATGCTAATTTCAGAAAAAAAAAAAAAAGAAAAGCAAAAATTTGTTAGCATATTACTTAAGTATTTTAACAATCGTTAATACATTAATCATTAATATTCCACTTTTCACCGTCTGTTTTATTATATTGTTTGTTATTGTTGATACACCAGTAAATTAATTAATTAATTTAGAGTAGAATTTCATTTAAAATCTAATGCAAATTATATAATGTTGCAAACATTGAAATTTAGTTATTTTTTTTTCAGCCTTTCATATTGCTATTACATTAAAATCAATCAATTATTCATGCAAATTGTTTCACTTCACAATACTTTCTTGAGAATTTAAATAATCGTTCAAAAATTGAACTTGTTTTTTCCACCACAAATTTTTGATGAGATGTGGAATTGTTATTAAATGTAGCTAGCACTACCCATTTTGAATTATGTACCCTGTAAAATATTCACTGGAAATTCAAATTAGCATATTAGCATTGGCTCAGTGAAAATCAGTTTAATTTATGATATAATTGATTAAATCTGTTCAACAAATATTCATTGTTACTTTAACCTGAAAGTTAACAAATCATACTGCTTAGCTATTGATAATTTCAAAATTCAATGTAAAACATTTAAATGCCAATTTATAAAGACCCTTAGAAGTTAGAAACGTTACAGTGAATCCGTCTAGAACAAATACAACAAAGTAGTACACCAAAATCGTATATTAAGCTTCCGGATCCGATGCCACATAATTAACTCTGCTTGAAAATAGCAGATAAACTGTTTTATCTTGAGATAACAATTTATCCCTTAGCTAGACAAATTAATCGTTTATCCATCATTCAGAACATTTGGTATTACCCGGAATGCTCTTATTCAACCATATATCTCTGTGCTATTGACTGGTTCGTTCAATAACTTACTTTCTCTATGTCAGCTTGTTTTGAAGAGAAAAAAAAAAAAAAAAAACTAAAAAAAAGGCATGACGAGAAGTAAAGAATCATCGCTTAAAACGAAGGATATTATTACTCATTAGCTTTATAGTCTTAGCTTTGTGCATTTTAGTTTTAATCCAAAAGTCAACAAACACCTTTCATGTTGCAAATATTTGAAAAATCTATTCGAAAAATTGGAATGACAAATTTTTGTGAATTGACATTTTTAGTTGACGCAAATTAATATTTCTTTTTACAGATGAGAACAAAAAGAAAGCTTTGCACGATGTATTAATTTTAATATGCTAAATATGCTGATGCTAATGCTTAATAAAACAAAAATAAAAGAAAGAAACAAAAAAAGCAAAACGTATTTATTCATTATATTATGTTCGAAATCTTTCCTACCAGAATTAATAATAAATTTCATACATAATGTAATTATTCCTATCTTATTTCTATTTTTCTTGTTACATTTGCTTTTATATATTATCAATTAATAATTATTGTTAGGAAGATTTCTTGAAACATTCTTCAATAACAATAATTATCATTAATTTTTTTCACATATAAATTTTCAAATGCCTTCACGTTTTCTTCCTATTTATGGTGCAAAGAGAAAAAGATGGCAAGAAAAGGAAGGCGAGAGAAAAAGGAGAGAGGAAGGACATAGAAATGAAAAGATAAGTTCCAAATTAATTTTATTCACATAAGGAATTTAAAATTATGTTGAAGAGAAAAAGATGAACAGAGTAGCCCATATGGTTCGACATTCTAGTGCTTGGGAAACATTTATGACACGTTCCGAAGAATCCATTCTTACGGAACGGAAAACAAGTGAGAGTGGCATTGAGACAGAAACACGTAGTGGTAGTATTGTAATGGTCGATTTTGATGTTGAAGCACCAACTGAAGCAACGCGTCGCAAAGAACGACTATTGAATACACTTAAAAGAGAGGTAAATTGAATTCATTTAAATTTAAATATTTAATACAATTCTTATTCGATCTTATATGAATATTTTCTGAATTCAAAATGGCCATTTGTTGGCCATTTATCGTGCATTCATTATATTGTAAAATTTTAGGTGAAAATTATTATGGAAGAATCCGTAAATAGAAAAGCAATTAATGCTAAAAGTACATATGTGACGTCATTATGTGGTATGAATAAGTTTATGATTCAGTTAACATCCAACTTCTTAACTCAGTCGTTAATTTACTATTCAAATTTTTATGCAAAATTCACTGATATTACTTTGGTATAACAGTGACTCAGCATTTTGCTGTAAAGTTTTAAGAAAATTTTTTTTGTCTCTTTTAAAAAAAAATTTTTTTATTTCAAAAATGAAATTTCTCGTTGCAGCAGCAGTGGAGCAATGTTTATTGGACGGTTTAAAGCGCCGTCTGCTTGGATTATTCGGCGGACGTTCAACTTATGCTCTTCTACATAACATTGCCAAATTTTGTCCAGAAGCAGCAACTGTGTTAACACTTACAATCAGAGCTCATGATGACGAAATTGTGTTTGTCTGATACGGATTATTTATATATACTTTTTTAGTTTAGATAAAATAAAAAACTGATAAATTGAATTCCTAATATTACAACAATTTTTTTTTAGTGGATTAAATGAATTTATCATTCTGATTCAAAATTTTTATAAATCAAAAATTCTAATGAAGGTAGTCTGTTACAAAGTGAAAGGTAACATTGTTATTATATCTGAGATTAAATTTACTTTATTTAATTGACGTTTATTATTAGATCATGTCCGTCATCATATTTATGGATTAGATTTGCGCTGTTGGCAAAAATATTACCAGCAATCATTGGATTCATTCATAATTCTGTGCAGTATGTTTTTCTTATCGGTTTGAAAAAGGCTTCAACTGAAGTTGTTTTGTAATGGAACGATACTATCTGATCGGTTAAAGAGGAGACTAAAAGGATGGATATGAGAGAAAAGAGCTAATCGGAATCATTTTTCATAACTTCTTTTTTAAATGATTCAAAAGATTTCGCAAAAAAATTTTATAGCTGTCGGCGATACTATGAAAAGAATTCACTAATGTTGGATGCTGCCAAAGGCGGTGTTGTAGCAGCCCTACTCGGTATTTAATTTTTATTTAATATTTGATTTCATACTTTGTCTTTCAATCTCTCCCAAAATTCAAGCTATGTGATCAGTTCCCATAAACAGTTCCCATCGCGTGGTAAGCTTTAAGAAAACTGAAAATAAATCACTAGTTAATTGCTAAAGCTAATTAATTCGAAATAGCGAGTTAATTTATAATTCATTCTGTTCACTTGCCATTTGCAATTTTGTTATATAGATAAGTTCGTATAGAAATCATATAGATAAGTTGAACTTTCAGCAATCATATAAATACTATTTTTCTGAAACGTTATCAAAACCAATTTTCTATTTTATTATAAATTCTCAACTCAGAGCAAAAGAATGTTTTTGTTAACATACAATTATGAAGTAACGGGAAGGTTGTTATTTCAAATATTAATTTAGATAAAAGCATAAAAAAGCGCAAATAGCATATATTATTTAGGAATATTTGAACATTTTCATTATTATTTAGACTTTCGTCTCTGAAAGAAAAAGGATTAATCAAGGAATTACTCAAGACTTTCATTTATAAAGTAAAAGACATGAATGTTTCCTATAAGTATGGTGAGAATATTATAGTAATATAAACGAGTTAGCATACTTAGGAAAAAAAGTTAATTCAGTAATATATGATAATAGGTAGCAAAGGGACATATCACTAATCAACAAAAATGATATAAGTACCAAGTACCAAGGTGATATAAAATACGTTTATTGATAAGTGACAATAATAATAATTATTATTATTGTTGGTAACAATGATAGACAATGTTTAATGTTGAAAGGAGAAAGAAAGCCAGGAAGTGTATAAAAATACCTTTAGTTGGACAGATTAATAAAAATATTTTTGTATTCTATTATAGGAACCAGAATAAAAATGTTTCCTATTATGATTAACTTATTTTTAGGAGTTATAATCATTAATTTCAAGAGATATCATAATTTGTGCGGGAATAAAAAAGAGGGAGGACGAGAAAGAAAAGAGAGCGAATAGAAGAGAAGAGAGAAATATTAGTGGATACATAAAGTTTAGTTGAAATTTAGTCAATTAAAAATTATTCCAAACAAGACATACCATGAAATGAAGAATACATTTTAATGTTTCTGCATATTTGAAAAGTGAAAAAACCAATTGGTAACTATAATGGAAGTAGATTAGAAGCATATTAAATTTCATTTAATATTCATTTCACATTCCTTAGAATCTCACTTTTATCACTCTTTTTTTTTTCAAGTTTATTTCATTCACATCATAAGGCAATCTGATCCGATGTCATTTCCTCTTCTTCCTCTGGTAATATTCAAATGTTAATTTATATATTGGTTTAGGGGCGATTATCTATAAAATTCTTTCGATAGCATTATTTTTTTTTTTTGAATTTCAATTAATATCTTTCTTAGTAATATATGACAGAAAATTGTGATACTTAGTCGGCAAGCAATTCCTGATATAGCAATATTCAGGCACTGTCTGATATAGCAATATGCAACCAACAAACTGGATTGGGTGATGCGAAAATATTCACATTTGGAAAGAAGGGCAATCAACAAGGCTGATTAGATTCTACTCATAAGGCTGATTAAAAATTTCCCGTGTGACATACTCCTTTTCCTTTCCTCTATTTCAAACAATGACATACATCCCTTTGACAGCACAATGTTATCTAATGGCAAGCAATTAGAATTTTAATAACGGTTGCATACGTCAGTAAGGTATACATATATATTTCCCATAAAAGATGAGGAGAGAGAGAGAGAGAGAGGGAGGGAGAGAGAGAATAATTTATGACAATAGTTAAGAATGACAACTACAAAAAGCACCGATGTTAAAAGATATCAAACGATCTAATTGCTGTAAGACTTGTGCTACTGCTGCGGAATTAATTGAATTTTTACGTTATGATGCTTTCATGCCTTCGTAGCCATCAATTATTTCTTCAATTATCCGCTAAAAATATACATACATACATACAAACATACATATATACAAACATACATACATACTAAATGCTACACAGTAAATTCGATGAATTAAATGTGGGGAAAAAGTCTAAAGGATAAAGTTATAGCTATTGTAAAAAACTGAATTCATTTGAAAACGAAACTATGAATTGTGTGTGGAAGACTGCATTAAACTGAATAGGTCCTTTTAGACTCTCACTTTTTAAACTAAAAATCCTATTAAATTAAGAGTTGAAAAGTGACCAGAACATTTGTATGCGCAATTAATGTTTTGTCCAGTTTTGGTTATCATTTCCTTTTTAATACATAGTCTTTGCAGATCGCATGTTTATGCAAAATCTTCAATTTCAGATCAGTTTCAAAATCTTGAAGCGAGAATTTGAATTGAATTTTCTAGTAATAAAAAAGCGAGTATTTAGAAACCATTAATTGGTTACTAATTTAAATATTTTAATGCTGCTGTAGAACATATAGAAGATATGATTACAGCTATTCACCTACTTCTCTTCTTATTGCTACTACTGCTAAAGGATTTCATTAGGTTTAGTTGAAAATGCAAACATTGCTACATAAAGAAGAAGGTATATTATGCAAATATGCCTTTTACTGGAAGAGTTTTCTACAATTCACATTCCATAATGAAATCCAACTTGTTCATAATATGGTGGTGGAAGAGTGATATCAGTTACATATGAAATCCATTCCGGCAGTCTGTCTATCATCCATTTTTGGCACCTGAAGTAGATTCCTCCAAACTGTATATCATCCAGTTTATCATCTAAGAATTTCATAGAATTTCAGATGAAAACTTTCACTGTTATCAGAAGCTATCATAAGAGTGGTAAGAAATAAATGCAGAAAATGAGCATTATGAATTGTAAATGATTACAATATCTCGTTTAATAATAGTTGAAGTATTCCTTTGATTCGGTTTTCGTTCTTCCTTCTATAAGGCTCAAAAGATTTTAAATTTTTTTTTAAACAATTTACTTTGATTTAATAATTTACTAAAAAATTTAAGATGTTTTATTCTCATAGTTTCCAAACACTTATTATAAAGAATCTTAATGTTGTTACTTCTCTTCAATTTCCATTATCACTATTCTCTTTCGACTTGCAATTTAATTTGGAAATAAATGTATACAGAAAAGGAGGCAAATGAAATTTTAGGATTTAATTTTTTCAACGTAATATTATACATGTTGAACTGCAATAAGATTTACGATTTTCAGTTGGTCCATGTGCTATTGACTATACAATGATGGATCATCAATGTGATCCGTATGAGGAACCCTTAGCCGGTGAATTGGTTGAGCGACATCGTAGCATCCATTCCTGTTCAGCTACTCCTCCGACACCCAAACGACCACCATTAACGGTTATTTCTTCAAATATACCGGAAATATCTGAATACTTTTTACAAAGAAAAAAATTGACATGTTAGGAATATCTGACTTCTGAAACTATTGATGAGGTATTGTTTGTTTATTGAATGAATTCTACTGTATCTATCATTCCTATTTGTTACGTAGCTCAAGTAATAATTTGACGTGAATTCTCGGATCAGTGCAGGTGATGAAGCGTGGTAGTAGCATAGTAACAAGCGTTGACAGCTGTTCATCACCCATGTGTACATTTGGACGCGATTATGTGTATTCATTACATCAGAACGTGAAAGCATCATTGTTATACGGTAAAAATAATGTCACCGCGACTGTGTCACCTGATGGACCCCCAATGAAAGGTTATCTATCGCTGCATCAGAATTCACCGGGAAATGTAACTGTGAAATGGTCACCCAATCAACTGATGCATTCAAGGTTCTAATCATTTGCCACTCAGTTGCTACATTCACCTAACTTACTGACTAACATGTTTATCATATATGAAATCAATTAAGCATCTGGGAGAAATAAAATCAGAATGAGATATTTTCAACTCTATGAATTCAGTTCGCAGCCATCCTCAGCTTCTTGTGATAATCTTCCTTGTGATGGTGATTGGCTTTGGAGACATATTATCAACATCAATATCAGTGATATAATCTACATACATATACATCAGTATAGTTAGTACTTAAATTTTTTTTTGCTTCACTTTTTTTCTCTATCTAACTTAAAAAAAAAACTTTTTCTATCTAATTTTACTGACCGAATCCGAAATTAAATTATTCAGTTACCAGCAAAAATCAAGTAAAGGAAAATTCTGCAGCAGTCTTAACTACTACGATCTGCTTATGTAACTTATCATCGATAAGATTGCTTATCCTATTTAATGTAGAAAGAAGGTAATTCGGGAATCAATTAACGATTTCAGATGAGAATTCACCGACGACATTAATTTTCGTTGGCGGTGATGGCGTGCAACATTCACCGATGCAATTTCCAGCCGGCCATCATTTGCTTGCTTTCCTTTCCTGTCTCGAAAGTGGTTTAGCACCTTACAATCGACTCGATCCACCCTTATGGTTTTCCAAAGAGAAAGGTTATCAAATACTACAATTAAATCAAATCTTTATAATTAGTGATGCTATTGCATCAAATGACTACTTTTCTAATAACATAGCAAGTTGCATTGGAAAAAAATTGAGAGTTGAAATTATCATTATAAATTCAACATCTATACTAGAAATTCATGCGTATTATTCTTATTATTATCAATTATCATACAAGTAATAGAAAAATCATATTCGAGTTAAGGATTAATTTCAAAATTGTCTGGTAACTTCAAAGCGATATATGCATTTGTAAATGCCATTCTTTTCTCTGATTTGATTCACTCAAGGTAAAATATTGCCGAAATTACGACGAAAGAGCATAACAAAGGAGTTGAACATAAACCATGATGAAGAGAGCAAATCACAGGATTATGTATTTCGCTTAGTACCAACATGTACACCTGCTCCGCTACTTAATAAGCCAAATTACTTAGATGAAACTATAATTCATGAAATATCACCAATCAATGATTCGACTGCTAAATTAAGGTTTTGTAATTTTTTCAAATTTCTAACTCGTACTACGCAATAACTGTTCTTTCCTAAAATTATTCAATAATGAAGAATTGAAACTTTGAAAAAATGATTGACTGAATTTTTTTTTTCCGAAAAATGACTGACTGAATGGCAAAAAATTAAAGTCCTACAAAAGAGTGGCTGACAAAATTTTCTTCTTTTTCTTTCAGTGATTGGATGACGAAATGAATTTATTAATCTTCCCATTCTTTCAGAAAGCGAGACGAGAAGCGGACGGTGAGTGAAAGTGAAGTGGACGAGCTCATGAGGTTAGTTGAAAAAAATTTTGTTGTGATCACAGGTCATCACAAGTCCCATTCATGGAGTTGCCTAGTGGTTAAATGACTGCGGAACGATTGCTGAATGACTAGCAAGGCCTATATACATATTAAATGAACCTTTCAACAAAAGAATTAGTATAGACGAAGTGAAATGATCAATTAGGAAATTATTTGAATATATATGTATATATTAAAAAAATTAAAAAAGAAATTAAATATATATATATATATAACCACAAATTTTCCTTTAATTTTTTCTAATGTAGAATGAAAAGATTTTACTTAAAGTACATACATTTCGTAAAACTTTCCGGATCTGCAGACAGAATTTCAAGAAAGCATGTTCTTCTATGAAGATGCAAATCTTGGCTCGAACTTTTTACGGATGTAAGCTTTAATTTCATGTTTTCTTTACATTTCATTCTTCCTTCTTTTTCAACTGTGATCTGTACTGATTATAAATATTTGTAAGAAGTCCCGATATACTAAGACTAGGGCGAACCAAAGATTTTTATTAAAACTTAATTGGCCTTTCTGTAAAACATTTCATTTATCCGGTTATTTCTTCAATCGTATCATCAACTCTGATAATCACCATAAGTCTTCTTTGTTTTCGTTTTTTTTTTTTCAATTGCTACTTTACTACTAATCGAGTGGCGGTATGCAAATTAAATTATATGAGTATTACTATTAAGCCATTGCTAATTAACGATAGGTCATTTATAGGGCTAGCATATTGCGGTCATTTACGTACTATTCGAAATCATTTGGCATGTTTGGTTGATTCGAAAACAGCAATAGAGGAAACAACTGGTCCAGTTAACGAGGATTTCTGGAAAGAATGCCGGAATATAAAATCTGTTGGTGCTTTTGTTCTTTGCTCTGCTTGAAGTTTTCTTTTATGACTGCTATCAACTGATTCTCAGTTATGTTAACGCACCAGGAAAAAATGGAGAAAGAATTCCTATCGAGAACTTATCGATTTGGCATCAGTGGAAATGAGTCTTTTATGCTTCGACGTAAGGTTTGGCCATATCTACTAGGACTAGTGAATTGGACACAAGATTTCGAACAGCTCAAGAATACATATCGTGCAAAATACTACAACGATGTAGTAGAATGGGAAAAGATCGAGAAAATTATTCGTGAACGTGATCGAGAAGCATTTGTAGTCGGTTAAGAAGCTTCTTTTTTTTTTCCAAATAAATCTGAAAAAAAAGATTATAGGAATATTTTGGGAAGAGGCGAAGTGGAGAAAATCAAGGAAGCTATGTATTTCATAGTTATAATTCTCTGTAATCTGGTCTTAAATTTATAATTTAATCTTTAGTTTTGTTTCATCATTTTCCATAAATATTAGTAGCAAATGAAAATGTTTATTCTGAATGCAAAGACTAATTTTACATAAGTAATAGGATGATAAAATTAAGGAACATGATAAAATGGGTTAAAGAATTAGTATGAGAAAATGAAGAAAACAAAGTTATAATTTTAATTTGCACGGAACTAATTCCAATGAATGAAGATATTTCTAGCTCGACTTCGATATCATGTATGCAAAGCTGAATCTAACCCATCATTCCATGGAATATCGCTGAACAATGAAGTATTCGAGGAAAATAATGAAATACCTAAAGATCAAAAGGATAACGATGAGGTTAACCTACATCATTGATAGTAACACTTCTGGTGACATAATTTTTTTTTCTACTTGATCAAATGAAGTTTCCTAAAAGATTCATTTCCTTTTCAAAAAAAAAAAAAAAAAATGAATTCACCCGTTTATCGATATATTCCAGGAAGATATCATGGAAAAATTCAGTGCCAATTTACACCGAATCGAGAAAGATGTAGAACGTTGTGATCGAAGCTCAGCTTATTTTGCCAAAAAAGAAAATCTACAAAAGTTGAAAACGGTAATGTGTACGTATATATGGCGGAATTTAAACGAAGGTTACACGCAAGGAATGTGCGACTTGGCCGCTCCACTATTGGTTATCCTCGATGATGGTAAGTTCAATTACTCGACAAATGAAATTTTGATGATTAAAGAAGAAATAATGATGCTTATCTTTGTTATTGCAAATCTGTAATTACTTTATTACCTAAATGTTTTGCAAAAGTATTAATGTGGTATTTGTGATATAAAAATGTTGCATATGCAGCAGAAGTCAATCACAGTATACAGAAGGAATGAATATTCGCAGTCTATGTGAAAGGACAGATACTTATAGTGAAATGAAAGATTACAAATCATCTGCTAGTTTTTGACATGTGATGATCGTTACAGAACCACTGGTACTAGCATGTTTTGATCGATTAATGCTCCGAATGAAGCAAAATTTCCCGCAGAGAACTGGAATGGATGATAATCTGGCTTACATGAATTCTCTCTTACAGGTACCTTTCTCTTTTCACTATTCAACCTTTCGTAATAAACATTATGTCATGTTTTCTTATTCTTTCGGACCATTATGACTTATGAAACAGAAGTTATTGCTCACTTCTAGGTGATGGATCCGGAATTTCTCGAGTATATAACTGAAAATGGTGACGCAACACATCTATCTTTTACTTATCGATGGTTCTTACTTGACTTCAAAAGAGGTTTCATTTTATTAATTTTTGATGGCCAAGATTTAGTTTTTAGAAGTTTCTTGTCATTTATTAGATTTGTAAATAAAGAATGAATAAACCGATGAATAAATAAATAAATATTAATAAATAAATTAACCAATTAATAGATTAAATGAACAGATATGCTAAGCAAATAAATAAGTGAATAAACAAATAAATAAAATAAAATAATCAAGTTCCCATATCGAATAAACAGTTATCATATGTTTGCTTTTAGAATTCACCTATCCACAAGTGTTTCGTATTTGGGAAGTAATTTGGGCAGCATCCTCACTAGTCACTACTCATTTTCATTTATTCTTAGCCTTAGCGATGATCATCGCATATCGTCATATAATTATTGATAATCGAATGGACTTCACCGATGTTATCAAATTTTATAATGGTTTGTAAAATAAAACTTTAATTAATTCTACCAAAATAAGTTTTATTGATTGATTAAACATTTTGCTAAACATTTCTTTAAAAAAGGAAAACAATTTTTCCTTAAACGAAAACGATTTTTCAATAAAAATAAAAATTAGGTAAATATGGTAAAACGATTTTTGCATACTTCTAATAATACTTTTGCCATACTTGAATTAGAATAATTTGACTTATTATCGCAAAAAATTTTAAGGACTTTAACATCATTGATTATTTTACATGCCTGATTTAAATTGCTATGAATTATTTTTGCATCTGTTTTAAACTAGAAAAACTAAAAAAAAGTGCAATTGAAATTTGTAGAGATGGCAGAAAGGCACAATGTTGACGAACTTTTGGATTCAGCACGGAATCTTTTGGAACGTTTGCAAACAATTATTATGGAACTAGAACCGGTCAAGAATTGAATTTAATCATTACAAAACTAAAAACTTTCTAATATAATCATTTATGCTACTACTTATTTCTTTGAGATATGAAGTGAATTCTGAAAATTTTCTTTCATTCCGGAAAAGGCAAATTCTCTTCAGTGGTACTAAACAGACAGAAAATTTCTACCTTATAATTTTAAGGAGAACGAATTCAACTCATAAATATTAAAATTAGTATAAGAACTCCCGTAAATGTAGTCCTAAATGAAAGTAGGGTTTCTTTCTAACCAATAGATTTGGGATTTTTTTATCAAACAAAGCTGATATATGTTCAATTCTGATCCATTTTGTAGTTCTGATATACGTTTTTTTGAACAAACGAGAACTTTGATCCTTCAAATATTTTTATTGGCTACACCAGTCATTTGAAGGGAGTTAAAAAATCGAAGTCAAACGACTATTTTTAACTTATTTCTGTTGGTGTAGAATTATTAAATACATGATTAAATAATGAAGTAACTCCCAAATTTTGATCGGTTTTTTTTTTAAATTACTTCATTTCAAAATCGAAGTATATATGCTTGTTTCTTCGACACAAATTTAGAAATATCACTTTGTGTTCAAATAATCACTGTTTTCCCTGTCATATTACTAATTCAATTTTGTCCTTCGGTAATCTGATCCAGGCTTTTCCATTCATCAATAACCGTTCATATTTGTAACTTACTTTCTTTCAATTTCCTTAGCTATTTCTGATTTATATTAATTATTTGTAAGAAATTTTTTCAATTCTAACTACAAAAAACAATCAGATTCTGTAAAGGCAATTATTATAGTATTATTCACTGCATCAATATTGACAAATATAAGTTCCACACTTGGTTATAGGGAAGACTTATTTCTTCATTGAAAAAGAATACTCCACTTTGTCCGAATTATGATTTACTGAAGTTTCGGATTAGAAAGTGATGCTTTATTTTTTAATTTATTACCTAGTCAGTATTGCTGATAGATAAAAGTTTCTGATAACAGCAGAAGAAATTAAAAGATTCATATTAATCAAAAAGTTAAATGAAAAAATTTCTAAATAATTTTGTGAACGAATCAAATCACTGAAACATTTAGTTTTTTTTATATGATCGACTAAAAATTGTAATAAAAGTAAATAATATCAGCGTGAATTTAATGGAGAGAAGATTTGCGTAATTTTCAAAATTTCTCTTTTGATCCTAATAATTATTAGAGTACGAAATCGAATCTCTTGCCAAAACAGTTTTCTCGGAATTTTTGAAATATTAATCGGAACATAAAAAGAAAAAGAAAAACCTAACGTGAAGATTATAGAACCTGAAACTTACTAATTTAAAATAAATGAGCTGAAATAAATACATGACACAACACTTGAATCATCTGGCACGAATAAAATGATAAAAATACACAATGCTAGGAGAGTTCAACTTTAATTGTTCTCTATCAAGTTACTGCACTATTGCTTCTGCTAATAAAGGAATTATTATATTCCTCTGTTAACCCACATATTTACATCGACATCTAACGAATCTTCCTGAGATCAACAACCTCTCGCAAAATAATAATTAAATTATCGAATCTTTCACGACGATAGGATGAAAACTTATAAAGGAAACTTTATTTGGTGCAGATCAGGTAAAACAATCTCATATTATGTTCTAAGTTACGCGGTAAACTCAAAACGTTTAAGACGTTTAAACTTAAATGTATACTCATTGATAAGATATCACAATTATTCCGAATATCTAACCTTAGTTTTATCCATCTATCTCATCGTCATCATTATTCTATTATTGATCGAATACTGTAGTACTATTGCGTGACTAGTTCAAATGGAATTTCTGATTACATCAATGCATAATTATGTCTACTCATTCCATTTCTTCCTTGTTTTTAAATCATAAATTCAGATAATTCAACAAAGTCTTCAAGCATTACTGCATTGCAATAATGTCATATAGCATGCATGCATATCAAATTGTATTGCTATACAGCATGCATTTCAAATTATACTAATGCCTTACAATACTATCCGTTTTTTTTTCGATTAAAACTGGTTTTAAAAGTGGTTATGGAAGCTTAGCTTTAACCTTTCTTAACAAATTTATCTTTGCTATTCTTCGTTAAGTTACGAAAATATCAGTTTTTCCTTTCTTCAAATTATTTTTTTTTTTTTGATTCTCAGAATATGCGACAACAGCTCAGTCACATACAATGTCTACTTCACATGGCTATTTATTTTCCATTGCTATGAAAGAGGATAAACAATCTCAAAATGTGTGCTTAAATTTGCTTCATTTCATAGATGATCTTTGATTAATTAACAATGTTATGTATGTCTGTGTTAAAAATTCTTTTTCTAATAAGATACAGAATGATGAAGCATCATCGAACTACAATTTTGATCGTTATCAGAAGTCCAAGTGTTCTGGAATGTCATATCGTCAGCTTGGAAAGACATTTATTAATGTTTCAACTATGGCATTTAGTATGTAAAAAGAAATGAAGTAATTCATTTATTAGTTATCACCAATAAAGCATAGTTAACAATTATCACTGCTACATATATGTGCAGGATGTGGAGTAATGGGTGGATTATTTGGTGATTTTAAAGATTCATTGGATAAACTTCTAAATGAAGCATTGAGAAATGGTGTAAATTATATCGATACTGCATATTGGTATGGTCAAGCAGATCCGAAGAACTTCTTGGACAAGTTGTTATCCTTTCCTTTTAACCTAAATTTTAGATAATTTTTAATCTGACATAATATTTTCCTTTGAACATTTTCAGGTATTAACTAAAATTCCACGACAAATGTATTGTATCAGTACTAAAATAGGTAGATTTGAATTAGACTTTTCGAGACCATATGATTATCGAGCTCATATTCTTCTCGAGCAACTTACAATCAGCCTCAAAAGATTGAAACTAACCTATGTGGATATTTGTTATCTGCAGGTCTTATTCTTGGCTTGATATCAAATTACTATCTTTTTTAACAAATTAAATGCATACTAGTATTTATGTATGCAATCTTGATTTTTTTCTAGGACATATGGAATAATTTAATCCTCCTCATAGCTCATAACTATATGTTTCAATGCAATAGAAATCATTCGATATTTTTATTTATATTAGATAAATAAAAAATGCTTGATCATTTCTCCGAACAAGTCTCCCTTTCATTCTTGAACAGTAAAAAGAAAACAAGGTATAAAGTATTTGACTGGCCAAAAAATCTTAAACACTTACTACGTGAGTTAATAAAATGATATGATACAAAAAAGTTTAAAGTGAATTATCAATCCGTCAAGTAACAGATTGATAATTCGATTTTTAGATTACAAGTTGAATTAGTATAATGTCTTTCTTCCAATCTATCGTGATATTTGTATTTATTCATTTGAAGTTACGGAATGTTGACTTTGATTCATTAGCCAAAACAATCTTTGGCGAATCGCTGCAAGCACTACGAAACGAATAGCTAAACTTACTGGAAAAGCAAAATATATTGGCTTAGCCTTATATACACTTCGAAACATTGTGTACGTCAAATGTATATTTAAAATACTTTGACAACTATGCTGTCTCCTCATCTCCATTAACTTTCTCAATAAGTTACTCTCCTCTTCTTTGTAAACAATGATTAATTATGGATAAATTAGGTATAAATTATTGGTACAATTCAACTTAGAAGTTTTAAGCTACGTAATTGAAAACACTGACTTAAAAATGGATGTTGTGATGACTTATGGACGAGCAAATTTTTGCGACAATTCATTGGGTGAATATATACAACGACTTAAGGTTAACAAATAATTGCTAAACAAATAAAATAGTAGCAAAATAATTCTTAAAAAATTGGTGACAGAACAGAAGAAATACTTTCATAAGATCCTAAATTTCCGGAATTTAAACGTTGAGTAGAAAAAATAAAGTTTCACACAAACTGAGAACCACTACCAATCGACTTTCTTACTTATCAGTCTTTAAAAAAATTTCAGTTGAGTAGGCATTGTGAATGGTGCACTATTATCGATGGGCCTTCTCACAAACAATGGACCACCAGATTGGCATCCTGCACCATCACCTGTCTTTCAAGCTGTCTCCTGTTGCAAGGTTAGATTTATTATCGAGAATTACTGCACCGGTAAGATTTAGGAATAAAGTTTCTAAAACGTTAGACATTCCTGAATCTCTTTACTAAATCGAACAGTGGTACGATTTTCTATTTAAAAGAAATTTAAATAGTCGAAACTCGGATCGTTACAGTTTCGAATCGTCGAGGTTTAAACGATCATAATTGATATAGCTTTAGCAACAAAATTTAGCTACATCAAAGGACAGTTTTTAGTGTGTAACCAACCCTGTCTCTCAAAATCTCCTGTATAGGAAAAAAATATCACCAAACAACGAATCTGACATAAGTTTACAAGGAATCTGACAAAGGAATATCATTAGTAAAACTTGCTATCGATTATGCGATACAATTTCCCGGTATCAGTACATGCCTAATTGGCATAAGCAATATGGACCACTTCTTGCAATATCTAAAATTAGTATGTTGTGATGGCTTGACGGATGATGAGGAATGAATTCGGAGCCGAATTCTTCGAAGGTAAACTTTCTATAGTAATCACGCATAATGATGCTTAATGCCCTAATTTTGTTGTCCAAACTTTTTCAATTCATTTTGATTTAAGATACTTTGACAAACTGAACAATGCGAACTGGGAAAGCATAGATCTGTATAAGTATTGGAAACGTATGGAGCACGTAAACTGGAACAAAACTTTCAAAAAGCATACTCGTGTACAAATAGGAAAACAGCAGTGCAAATGCACCACATGCACATGAAGTTTGTATTTCGAAATTAAAAAGTCTTCTTTCTTTCTAAAGATTCAAAAAAGCTGTTGCTTGAAAAAAAAAAAAGTATTCTAGACTAGAAATTATGCCCCATTATTAACCAATAACACAATAAATAAACATCAACAATACAGTACATGAAAACCAGTCGACAAAAACAAGTGATAAAAACAGTCGACATAAATTTCCATTTACAATAGTAAAGAAAAACCATTACTATGGCTTAACAACTGCAAAAACAAATATGATACGACCACGAAACACACTAAAAATTTTGATATTTCGACATATACTACAAAGATTAAATATAAAGCAGTTTTCTACTATGCCACTTTTCTACTGTGCGCCGATGTTCATTCTCCCAAACATAGTGCTTCTACCGCTGTCATTAGTCCAAGGTTTTAGCTATAACCTAACGATTTCACCATCAGATTCTAGTAATTATAAATAAAACTATGTAACAGATAATGAGACTTTATGAAAACAATGTCCTTCTCAAAAGTAGTAAAAAAAATGCTTTGTATAAAAGGTTGCAAGAAATGATAAAAATTTTATAAATTAAAGTAACAATGAAATATCGATATCTATACTTTATTGCTAGATTCTAGTAATTATAATTAATACAAAAAACATGAAGTATGAAAAAATAAAAAAACTGAAATGCTAGCCAGTCGCCAAAGTCAATTCCATATACACTATGTTGTGTGAGCTACCGATCTGTGCCTACAATTAGCAATATATTAAAAGAACAACGGAAGCTGAAAACTTTTCTAGGTATATTTTGTAGACTTCTGTTTCGGGAAAAGTTAATTTCCAGAAATATAATAACACGTCATGAAGTTGAGTAAATATTAACTTGATTTAAAATGATATCTGACAATACACTACAAACACAACAGTAACCAAAAAGTTTCCTATAATAGCAAGGACACGGCAAGGTAAATAGCACAGGACCCCATAGCTGTTATCCACATGAGTCAAATAAGTCCACATTTATAACAAGACAGATAACAACCAAAAAAATTAAACATACCTAAGAAAGGTGAAGTTTTGAACTGTTTGAGTCCAGGTGAAGTCGAATAAACGGTTAAAAATTCGTTAGCAATTTTGAGAGAAGCATTATTCTCTTCTATAATATTTAAAATTTCGCATTAGATGCGAGTTATCAAAAATGTAGTTAACATATAACAACAAATACTATATAAGAGTTGAGTACAGATCGAAAAAATATTGAAAAGTTCGTTGTGTAAACGATTAAATATGACTAAAGAGAAAATGTCGATTATGACTAACCAAGTCGTTCGAGTTCATTTTGATCTCGCCTAATATCATCAAGAAATTCCCATGAGCCATTATTTCCCTCGTAGTTATGACAATCCACCGCTTCAATTACATTTTTCCACAGCAATTCATTTTTCAGAGTGACCGCATCTTCAGCAAGAGGTGAAAACTTTCGCATAAGCGGTGCAATAAAAGAGAGCGACCTGGAAATCGTAACTACAATAGCCAAATCTACACTTAAATCTATACTTTTAAAGCGATTTTTCTTCGCTCTTATTTTCGCCAAACGAATATTATATATATATATATATTCTAAAATTCAAAAAAAAGGAAAAAAAAATTCAGACAAACCAGCACGACATATTATAAATTTACCTTTTCAAACTGTATGAATCAAATGGAAAATGAGATTCGAAAGGCATCATCTCTGCCGGTTTTGCCGGTAAAATATGGTTCACATAAACAAGCTGCACAGATCTGCAAGTTTCAAAAAATTAAAATTAATACAACCAAAGTTAATTTATTTTAAAACTAAACTGGATCTTGATGTTTAAAATCTTTAAAGTAAAGTAAAAATATTACTAAAACCACGGATTTTTTAGTCATTTTTAATAGCAAATTCTTGGCAGTGCTTTATGTCAAAGATCAACTTTTTAGGAGATTATAAAGCTTATCCGAAAATATACCATAAGTAGGACGAGACAAAATTTTCAACAAAAGTAACAAAAGAAAAATGATAAAATTCACATAAAACAACTAAGTTTGACCTGCTTATTGTTGCAAAACATAAAGCGACTGGATGACTAATGTATGATAAAGGTTCTAATGTACTGTGGATAATATGTCCCAGCCCCCAATGATGTATCTTGGCCACTTCTGAAAACAAACGCTTCAAAGATTTTTTCTTTCCCAAGTTCATATCAAACATTGAAGTTTAAGAAACATGGAAGAAAAAAATCATTCACCACAGATACTGATCCTGTGGAACTATAAGTCAACTACATCCGCTTTCCAAAAAAACTTCATATAGCGCTCTTCAATTTATTTCTTAATTTCAAGACTATAGTGATTCAAATCAGTTATTTATGCAACAAGTATTTTCTTTTCTAGGTTTCTAAAAATTAGTAACAAAGAATAACAGGATGCTTCCACTAGCATTTCGCCTAAAAACGTTACCATAAAACACATCAAAAGTACTCGCATTAACCTTTTGCTTGTACTATTTCACGGTATCGAAAACAAAAGGCAACAAGAAATGCTTGAAACACAGCATAGAATGTTCCATGTCGAGTTGAGCCTGCAGTAGCAGCAGTTGTTCGATCAACCATCTCATTCACATAAGTAGTACACCAATGTGACAACACTTCCAACCACTCCATCGTTGTACTAAAAACATTACGGGATTATTTTAGTTTTCAAAATTCCCATTTTTGAATTGGTAAATTCGCCTCAGTTGATCTATCCTATCACTAAGGATTACAAAAAATAATTTTTAAAACATATCTATAATGTAACCAAATTGCAGAAGAGAGGGTTACCTCAGATTAATATATGAAGCACGAGAAAGCATGCTACTGATGTAACAAGCAGCACCTTGCGCTTTTTTCCAGTCATTAGGTGTCTGGTTCAATCGCGTAACAAAACTCCAGAGCCACCTCAGAAAATTTTTTTGATAACTCTGCAATAACAAAAAAATCGTTAGCTCAAAAAGAATTATAGCAGACAAAGCAAAAATGTGCGTAAGGAAAAAGAAATAGGGAAAATAATTCTGAATAACCACACCGTATCAAGACTGCAAACGTAAAACCAAAGGAAAGATATGTTCTTCAAACCATGAGCCATTAAAAGATGCTCTTCGAATACAACCAATAACTCCTTTATTATCTTCTTTTGTCTGGGCGTTGATGGCAGCCAATCTGTAGGCAATAATTGGAAATGTATTTGATAAAAAATTTACTGAGTTAAGAGAGCTCTAACTTCTCAAGCATTAGCTTTGAAGACAAATATCTTACTTGTAGCTTCGTTTTCATGATTAGTGAGCATTATAAGTGTTTTTGTGATGAAAAATCAGTTGTTAAGAAATTTTCAAGCATTCAAGAAAAAACGTACCTATTTCTGTCAAGTTCTCCTGACTACAAAGTTTTCCTATATAATCAAACATAAGTGACATGCAAATATCCAACTTCTCCACCTTGTCATTATTATCTTGCACTTCATTAACCTTCCTTTCGTATTCTTCGTCCTTAAAGTAACAAGGCTGTAAAAGATATGCGCTTAATACCGATCAGAAATCACATTCCTGCCACTCCAAAATTATTACCAACATATAATGAAGTTTAAGTCTTGTGATTTTACGCAAACCAAGATGAACTGACAAGTGACAGAGAAAATATGCATATGTAACCATCATCAATATGCAGATCAACTATCACCAAAGGAATGATCGAACAGTTATGAGAATGATTATCATTTTCTTTCAACTTAAAGAAAAAAAAATAACATATATCCATTAAACTAACCAGTAAGAATACATTTAGACCATCATCACAGCTATCCTCTTCCCTGTTTGAATTTTCTACTTTCGTTAACACTGCCTAAAACTGTATTTTTGATTTTTCAAAGCATTAACTAGCTGTAATCAAATCGATTTATCAATAAATGCTTCATGAAACATAAGAAAAATGAGTTAATACAAATATTAATACTCACATCGAGTTGAGCAAGGCCATCAATAATGATGGATAAGATATCCTCTCGACACTGCGTGATGCTCTGACATATTAATATAAGATTTCTTACATAACTAATATATCGAATTGATGATACCGAATGATGAGGAAAGCGGTGACGAATAATTTTGACGAGACTTTTTGTTGCTCTGAATAAATAGATATATTGGTGGTGATGTACACTTTCACGAGTTTTTATATCTCGTAGGAACATTACTAATTTTTTTGAATTAAAAAATCTCTATATTACACGTCCACTTTGGTCAGGAAAAATAGTACCTGAGACGGAATAAGCAAAACATGAATAAGGTCAGTGAAGACTGTGAATTAAGTTTATGTTTCCAAAGAACATTCCCAAAATAAAAAAAAAAAAAAAAAAAGAAAGTAGTCGAAAATTCAGAACTTAAGTAAAATTAGGATGAAGAATGACAGCATATACTATGGAACAATCAAGTTTATCCAATGAATTCTATTATTTCAGTCATTTCAAGGGCATACATTTATTGTTAGGCAAATTGTTCGTGTTTTTTTTCTAGAGTTCTATTCCGGTATTGCTGCAGATCATATCAGCGATATATTCTTTAATCACATTAGGAAAACCTCATTACTATGAAGAAGACTAATGCTTAATGAAAAAATTTAAATACAAGAACTGACTTTAATTAATCAAATCTCATTTTTCTTCTATAAAAACTGATGAAAATTTCTTGAAAATACTTAAAAATAAACTTCTGCAACATCATTTGAAGCTAAAAGATCGAAATGCATGTTAGCGTAGTCAACATAAGAACTTACAAAGGAAAACACTTTACTATAAATGCCAAACCATCAATTGCCAATTTGTAAATATTGTTTTGTTCTTCTTCTGTCAAACATAGCATAAACACACCGATATGCTTGTTCATAACCTCTGAAACATTCTGAATTGAAATAAAGGACTGAACAGCAAATCAAATTTGAAAACTATTAACAAGAAAAAGCCCCACTTGATTCCCACACTCCATACCCCGTAATGCAGTCATTTTAATTCCTCAACATACTTTCTGCCAAATGATTTCAGGGTGTTTCTATTTGTCCCTTTTCTGCTTTGAGGTTCATAACAAAGAATTTAACCTTGACTTTGATTAGCAGTAGAAAGGGGTTGGATTTTAGCAGATAGATGTTCCACGAAACATCTTATAACCGACTCGGTGTGACAAATATACTGCACACCAATATCTCGAAGTAATTTGACGAACTGAGGTCGGATATCACTAGGAACAAATTGCCAATCCACTTGCTAAAACACATTTTATAATTAACTTACTTACGATTACTATACATTACACTAAAATCGCATGCTGCCCCAAAAACTTTTTGCTTATAAAACTTATAGGCAGCAGAAGAAAGATAAATCAAAAATACCGTGCAAACACGCAAATAAATGCCTAATAATAAGATTATTCACAATTGACATAACATTAACTCACATTAATAACCTTATAATAAGAATATCATTAATATTAGAATCCAGAATACACTAATACGATGTAAACTAACAACGAATTTCAACACCAGCTGTTTACAACGATGGTCGAACAGATGGGCGATATCCACAAACTGACGAAGAAAGTCGATCACTGCTTGTGAATCCCACTGGTTTAAAAAATCAATAGCCTTACATAGTTTATCGTAAGTTATCAAACCATTTATGTCCCCCTGAAACAATCATTACAACAATACTATTCATATTACAAAGAAAAATAACCACTGATACTGCAATACTGAACTAGGAAATCATATTATGTCACTTAAGCGCAATAATCGCATGCTACATGCGAACTGATCACCGACACATTTAGAATATTAGATGCTGCCTACTGCTTCAAATAGGAAAAATACGCTGTGCTCCAGAATGTCTCACTTAGTTCCTGGTGATTTCAATCAAATAAATTTCAATGAAAACTTACTGAAAGATAAGCACTAATAACAGTTTCTCCCGAGATTGTTTCTTGCTTAACGTTGTTCGCCATTTCAGCATGACAATCGTTCGAAACAGAGCGACAGAGAAAGCGCTACTCAAAAGAAAAATTACTATAAATTGAAAAACTATTCACCTGTAAACCCCAAGAATACAACTTCTACTTATGTAAAACTCCACAGACCTAATCTCCCTATTCACTGCTTTGACACATTCAACCAGAAATATAGCAATCCATGAAACAGCAACTAATAACGCTACATCACTCCTCTTCGCTGAACCATTATGCAAACAATGGTTGCTGCTACTAATACAGTGTTTTATTTATTGATGGTGCAAGTAGGATTATTTTAATGGTGGAAGGATTTCTTTTTTTTTTTGGAAATGAATAAATAAAGTGGTAATTGTCGTTTAGCTTCATTCCTTCATTCCAAGCTTACATCATTTATTTCTTCATAAATATAATCGTCTTTAACGATTCCTTCACATTGGAGAAATCGTTAATTAAAAAGATTAATTAATTGAATGAGGATTGTTTAGCAGCTCATTATCATAAATATCCGGCAAATGTCCATGAAATACTTCATTTTTCGGTAATAATAATCGTAATCATAATATACTTTACAGTGCTGTTGGCTTTTTGTTCTATCCTTTCTTTTTTTTCTTAAAGAAATTTTTAATTAGCAAATGATGTTATTTGAAACCCTGATTATCTTACAAAGGCTCTGAATTCAGAGGAACAACGTTTTGACCTATATACTACTGCATTTGTCAGTTCTTGAACTTCATAAATCATCGGAAGGAGTCTCTATGCAAAGGAAACCAAATTGTTTTACAGATATAGAAATTAGATTAGAGCACTTTTCGATTTACACTAGCCCTAAAGTAAGAGAAAGAAAAAATATATAAATGTGACTAAATAAAAAAAAAAAAAAAAAAACAAACTTTAATGTCCTCACATCACATACAGAAGTATTTAACTTCATGACAAAAAACATAGCTGAAAATTGACGAAAAAACTTGATTACATAATTATTAAATTCGATTAATTGGTGTAAATGAACAGTTGTTCACTTTCCACAAAACATTACTTTTTTTAAACATCTAAACAAATTGTGTTCAAGATTTTAGTTGTAATATACAATTCAATTGGATAATTTTGTGAATTTCTTTTTGATGTCGCGCTGATGAAATATATTTTTTCTTCTTTTTGGTGTTTAGATGTAATTATTATTGACTGTGCGACCGATTGATATCTAAAAGATGAGTGAGTCAAATTCTTTGTTCCTTTCGCCATTTAAAAAACAAAAAAAAAAAAAAAAAATTATGGAACAGTTTATCTTTTCGATGCCTGCAAAGTGAGATGTCATTTAGAGAGTTGTGATATAATAGAGAATCAAAAGAGAAATATTCACCAGAGAAAAGTATGTGTGGAACAGTCTTGAAAATGAAAAATATTATTAATCTATTAATTACGTTATTAGTAATAAACTATTGTTTTTTGGCTCCTTTCAAAAATTAATAAATTCGGAAAAGAATGGTTGCTAGCGGAAATTAAGACGAACGTGAGAGCAATTCCGGAATTTCATTATATTATTTATATTTCAAGTATGAAATAGGACTTACGAGGTAAACTGTATTACTGCCATCAACTGATAATCATATAGAAAGAGGTGTTGCAAACACTGTCCAAATTAACATTAAAAATGTTTACAACTACTGAGAATAGAGAAGGAGTGAGTAATGAAATTAGAAAAAGAGATAAAATAATGACAGTAACATTCTTTTCATTCTCTATTTATCAAGCTATTAAATTTCGAGTTATTGCATGCTATTCATTTGAAGTATTTTTCTAGCAATTCTATTTTATTCTGATGTTTTTGCAGTGAGTGAATTTTATCTCAGAACATTGGAACAAGTAGCAATATATTTAGCAATTAAAAAAATAAAATAAACTGGTATATAAGAAAAAGAAATTAACTTCTCAAGTAAAAAAACATATGCTAAATGTAATTAGTTGCAGTAAGTGAAAATCATTAAGACAGCATGCAACAAACTGAATAGAATAAATATCAAACATGCAGTAAGTAAAATGAATGCTTATCAGTAATGAAAGGCAAAAGATAAACAAAAGGTGATGTAATAGGCAAAAAAGAAGAAAAAAACAAATTAAAAAACATGAATTGAATGAAAAACAAGCAGTCAGTGAATTTGATTCTATGTTTTATAGAAGTATTAAACGGAATTTTTCCCATAGCTACAAAAACACATGTAAAAATCCACTTATATTTTAAAATGTAACCTACACATTATTATTATTACAGAAAAAGATAAAAATAATTCATCCAATTTAGTAGATTCAACTTCATTCCTTATTTTTTTTTTTTTTGGAGGTTTAGTGAAATAATTTCAGTAAAACTTCGTAATAACTTTGCAATTTTTTAGGGACTAGGCAATGATTTTTAAAGATGACTTTACTGAATGCGTGGATTTTTAATGACTAAAAACTTTCGTGCATTTAATTAGTAATTTGCACCATTTATTACAAACAATATTGATTAACTATATTGCTCAGCGACGTCATCTGAGTAATGTGATGAATTGATGTATATATTAAAGAATGCATCATAGTATCATGGATTAAGGTTTTGTAATTTGTTGGTGACATCGACATTTAATTAAAGGGTGATAATTAAAGGTTGGGATCTTAAGCAAGAGAATAATGAGATAAGACTTTCCATTATCACAGTTGGCAATATTTTGTGGACACAGATAAAACTCTTCGGAAGAAATGAAATAGAGCACTGTTATGTGAGGGCGTATGTGAGTTAAATTAACGTACTTGAAATAACTAAAAAAATAAAACAGAACTTAAACTGAGTTGAACACATACATATTAAAAACTTGAATATATATTAGAAGAAAAAACTTAGTGGTACCTGGAATGGAAGGATCTTGTAAAAGAGATAGCTGTGAATTTTGTACAGTAGCGAAATCAATTTTCATTTTGGATTCCTCAGTGTTTGCATCTTTAATTCTGCGTAATTGGATGGAATCGAAAAAGTGCAAAGAATCAAGTGAAGTGCCACTTTGAAAATTTTCAGCACTTATTCCCGACAATTCTTGCAGTAATAACTGAGAATTTTCTGCTCTTTCAGTTGTCGATTCCACATTGTTTGTATCTTCACTGAACAAATGAGCAAAATTGTACAAGTCCAAACTATTGAACGGAATGTCACAGTGTGATTCTTTAGCACTTGTACCTGACAAGTCTCCACCAGTGTTTCTCGGTTCATTATTATAAACAAACGTATGTGAACCAAGAATTGGATCCAAATTGATGTTATCAAGGATATTGAAACTAGTTGAGAAGTACTCATTGCTACAGTCATCCCATGCAATGTCATCGAGGTTTAGTAGACAAGTAGTTCCATTATTAGCGGAACATCGATTTACGAAGAACAAAATGAAATAGTGAGTTTATAAAATGGTAGAAATACTCAAGTGAAAGGTGTTTATTTCATTTTGACTGGAATTAAACGACCAAAGAATAATGAACCAAATAATTTTTAATTTTTGATTCGCATTTTTTATACTTTCTCCCTTGCATTCTCATTTTGTACCACTTAATTGATATTTGATGGATGCGCTTTCGGATTTTATTGGATGTTTAGCCGTGCTTGTTGCCTTGGATGATTACAGGGAATTTTTTTAGCCCAGGAAATAAATGTTTAACTATTGTCACCATGAAGCATGAAATTCAGTACAGTATCGATTGTAATTTATCTTATAGCTTGCGGTTGAATTACTAATATTGTATCATTTCCAGTAATGAAACTTTCTCTAAATTTGTCATAATCGATGAATAGCATAATTTAATTATTAACTCTTTTCTGCACAGTGTAATGATTTTCTGTGGCAAATTTTAATGCACACACCAAACGATTTGTCTACTGAAAAAAAGTAGTGCATGCCCACCTGTTTCTTCAAAATATTAGATGATTCGCGTTTATCAAATTTACAAATCGTAGTCTGCATAAATGTTAAAATGAGCAGGCAGAAATATTACTACAACAAATGATATACTAATTTATTTTTGTTATAAACATGTAAATATACTTTTAATTTTCAGTGGATTATATATGATTATACACTAAGAAATCATAGTACAGAAAACTATTGGTTTGACTATATGGAGAGAGTAACTGAAAGAAACAAAGAATAGAAATTATAGATTAAAATATGATCAGTTAAATGTAACTGAAATATCCAGAATGTTAATTAGCTAGCGTCATGAAAACCAAAAAAACAACAATTTTTATAAAAACGTGTAAATCATTTGGTACCGATGTTGGATTAATGCATGTACTCAGGAGTATTGGAGCAGTACAGATGAAAAATCTATTCGATTGCCGATTTTTGATGTCAATTATTCCTCACTTTCCATTTATGCTTATATTGCATTGTCATGTTTTCATTTTTGATTATATTTGCAATCTTTCATCGTATTTGCTCAAAGCTACTGATGAAAACATTGATGAAAATCAGCAGTTTCTTTGTCAAAACTGTTATCAGATGCATAAACTATATTTATGGGAATTGAAAATTTTTAACAAAAATAATCAAAAGTCTGAATTGGAAACGATCGTTCATAACTTTTCTAGGATAATAGGAACTTCTACTAATCATCCAAAGCAACAATCACAGCTGAACTTCTTATGAGATTCAGAAGCGCATTCATCAATTTTCAATTTAATGATAGAAAAATGAAAGTGTAAGAGGAAAAAATAAAATGCAGTTGATACTAAAACTATTTGAGCCTTTGATCTCTTAATCCAGCCAGTTCAAATAAAGCCTTTCATTCGAACATCTGTCATATTTAAAAAATTCTGTATTTCACATTGCTCTTCATTACATCATAGATACAAATTGCTTAGTTCAACTTCTTTTGCATCACTTTCAGCTTTTCTCTCAAATCTCGACAACTGGTAGCATTGTGTTGAATAACTTGTACTATCTCAAATAGCTTCAATATTTTCTACAGAATAGATTTGGAGCCAATTCATTTACATATTAACGCCTCTAAGGATTTCTCTCAGCCGTTAGAAAATGGAATGCAATGAATTCGAAATTTAAAACTACGGAAATTCATTAATACGGGAAACTCGGAGTTTCAGTTCTGTAAAATTCCTCTATTAGAGGTAATAAAGAACTTTTTGCTATCCGTATACGGAAGGAATTCAAGCTTTTTGAAATCTAAAATTTACTTCATAGCATCTATATTTTTGCGATATTTTCAAACCATTAATTGCAAAAAAGTGTTATAAGAGTTGGAAAAAAAAATTCGATGAGAAAAATTGCGAATGTCCTTATCGAGTTTCACGACCATGAAACATAAATTTCAAATGAGTTACACTGAACCTTAAATCAGTTCCTTAAATTAAAAAAAAAAAAAATTTAACGTTTTTTCTTGGAATAGAACACACGTGAAGATGTGCTGAATCCATGACCATTATATAGGAAACCAATAAAAATTGCAATATTTTTCTAAACTCATCAAAGAATTCTTTGTCATTTATGTTCAGCATAACGAACGGCGAACAACCAGTAGTACGTAGTATCTGCTGTTGTTTTTAATTCTATAAATTTGAAAGTTTTTATATCAAAGATATGTAGAGACGTGATATGTTTATTTTATTTCACATAGTCATTTTATGATCTACTGACTTTTGTATAATGACTTTTCATTTTGTGCTTTATAGTTCTTTACTTTCAGATTACTGTGTGAAATTAAGAACATAAGCAATAAACAATTGAAAACCAAAACTGTTTTCATCAAGGCAGAAAATTCAAAATATATACTGGGAAATGTTCCATGTTAATTGTCATGTGTTTTACAGCACTGATATTTTCTCACCAGTGTTTAAATCATGTTAATTAATTATCAAACAGTACAGTGGAATTGCTAATTGCGAAAGTAAATGTCTTAGTGGAGACTTTTCAGAATAGCAAAAGTATGAGTGTACTATCTCAGGCGTACTGTGAAAATAAAAACGAAAGACGAATAGAACATAGGAATAAAATACGGCAAACTTTTTATTCATAAATGCAAAGTGCTTGCTTATGAGTAAACATTCAGTTGCACACTAACATTCTGCATGCACAAGCAAATACTTCAACTAAACTTCCCTACAAAAATATGGTAAATTACTTGGTAATAACGATTTGTTGCAAAAACAAAAGAATCACTTTAGTTTTCAGACACATTTATCTATCTGAAATAGAATGCATATGAAAATGTCCTACGATACATTGGCGAATGTGAAGTAGCAATGCAAAATGCAGTACTATGCACTAAAGAGTTCTTTGTCGTTTGTTTTGCACATATGAGCCAGTAATCAACTGATGATGTTCTAATAATCCTTTTGATTTAAAAGTTTTTTTTTTTTTTGATGCTCTGGATATAAGTAATAAAAAATTGAGAACATCAAAAACCGAAACTGATCTTGTCACAGCGGAAAAACTACAAGTAGATTTTTTTATTTCAAATATATGCAACGATAAGTTCGTACCATGTAAGCTGTTTGAAATTTGAATTGATAAGTTTAATATGATATTTAATATATACTTAATAATCAAATCACTTCAGTCAACTACAAATGATATGATAAAAATTGCTTTCGCTAATTGCAAAAATGAATGTCTTAAGAGAAGCTTTTTAGAAGAGTAATATACAGAAATCCTTATGTCGGATGTACTGTCAAAATGAAGGATTAGAGGAGATTCATAACAGATCGGAAAAGGCATATATTTTTGAATGCAAAGTGCCCGGTATGGGAAAGTATTCAATTTTACTAAATATGAAGAAATGCATCATCTAAAAAATGTGACAAAAATTCTTATACCGTTCACTAAATTGACGAGTGCAACATCCGAAATCACGGAGTAATAATACAAAATACTGCAGTGAAGAAAAGATACGTAAAAAAAGAATATCATTCTCTCCACGAGGCCAAACTGCAACAAACTTTTTTCTTCTTTTAACATAATGAAACAGTATCTAAGGATAATTCATTTTAAAAGAACACAGCTCGTGCATACTTCGAAAGACATTACAAATAGTATGTAAGAATCAGAGACTATATGACATTCTTGGTGTTATCAGCAGAAGCTGGAGCCAATTTTACAATTCAATATAAAATACTGAACTGTTTGATCTGTTTTATCTTATTCTCAATACTATTTCATACTTCATATGAATGGCACAAACTTCTGGCGCGTAAAGATTCGAAGTTGGCACTCCGTAATGTTTCTTATTAGGGAAACACTGACATGCTTAGTTTATGGACATTGCCACTCTTGAAAACAGCTTATTGACATCATCCGTCTTGTCTGATCATTTTATAATGCGGTCAAATCAAAAATATGTTTTCTTCTTTTAAAAAAATGAAAAATGGATGCGTTATTGAATATAAAAAAAAGAGCTTATCTTTTTTTCTCTTTATCCTTTGATAAAGAAATTCTGAAATTAATATTATTTGAATAATTGTTAATGGCTAGTATCAAAATTTCTAATATTAAAAAAAAAATGTCATCAAACAACTATTCTGCGAAATCTTTGCAAAATTCAAGAATTTAATAGGATCATCTCAATATAGACAGCACAACACCATACAAAAAAATAAATGAATAAACAATAGCAAGTTATAAAAACAAATTAAACTGCAGAAAATTTAGCACAAGAAAAATTCTTCAAGCGAAGAAAAATCACTCATCTTGCAGATGTTGTATCATTTTCAGGTCCTTCAGTTGGATATTTCCCGTTTTCCAATAAATACATTCCATTGCGCAAATAATTGCATTTTTTTAATAATTTAGTAATCAAATCTTTAAATTGAAAATAAATTGCTAGATCGATCCCTTTGTCATTTACTAACAATCGGTATTAAACATTTCTCCTCTTTCAAACATGCAAAAATGTGTAGCACACGAAAATTAATTAACCAGTGAATTAATTAGTGAATTAATTTGAATAAATAAATTAGTGGATAAATGATTAAAATATTTACAAAACAAAAAATCAAAATATATACAAATTTTTATTAATTTCTGCAAATCAATATCCATACAATTTCTTTCTTGCTTGTTTTTATTGTTGACAAAGCTTTGAATATTATAAATATGAACATTATAAATGTCCACTTTATGCTATTTTATATCCAGAATTATGCGGGAATTATGAACTATTAAAATGATATTTTGTAAATACAAATTATTTTAATAATTCCTGGAAATATGAACTGGAAACAATGATAAAGCTTTAGCCTTCTCATAAATATCATAAATTATCATGCAAAACCTGAAGCATCCTGAATTGGAAACAATAAAGCACAGTAGACAATGATGGATTTCAATGAAATTTCAAAAACAATTCAAATAGATTTAGCAATATTTCAAGACAAATCGTTTATAGTTCTTGCCAGTTTCAGTATTACAGACTTATATTTTAAATTAACTTCGAGTAAGTTTGAAGAATTAGTCATCACAGGAATTGTTGTTTGCCATAAATATATCGCCATTATAACTAAGCTGCAGTTTTTTTTATTTTAACTACTGTTTTCGGATTCATACCTTCTAAACCTTATAAGATTAAAATCAAAGCCTTAATAAGTAAAAATACTCATTGTTGCAGTGTTTACTTTTAAAGTATCAAAATAAATAAATAGTAATATTATCCCTTTCACATTTAAGTACATATGTAAATTTAAGCTAAGTAATACAGTATTGCAATTAAACAGAATTTTCGCTTAAAATTCGTTAAAAATTTTGACTTTTTCTGAAAGCAACTTTTTATTTCAATTTGACAATTCATTCTAAGTTCAATGCTTCTATGCAATATCAAAGTACTGATTAGTTATACCACAATAACTTGAGAGAAGTCGGGATCAAGGCAATCATTTAGTGCTGAATATAGATTTTTTTTCTACAATTTTTTTTTCCGAATTAAAAAGCATAGGGTATTCTAACTCAACATATTTAATAAGATTTCAATGTTTAATAAAATTCATTTTATTTATTTATTTGCTAAATTTAAATTACAACTGTTGATTTAAATTTTGATAGCTTAGTTTCACACTGCTGTTTTTCCATAATGTCGCAATACAAACACTTTTTTTTGTTAGTTTAATGAATCATAAAATATTAGCACTAGTTTGTTTCTATTTATTTGCTTTATCATGCTTATAACCACAAAAAGTAATGTATGTAATATACATTATAGATATATCATGAATTTTTAAGTAACTCGTAAACCACGTGGAAAGTTTGAAAACCATACACAAAACAGTTCTAAAATTTTGCTAAATATTGATAAATAGTTTTAACAAAAAAAGCACATCCATGCTACCCGTAGCTTTTATGAGCTGTTTCACATCTAAATAAAAGTCATTGCAACTAAATATTCGAGATATATTCATAAAAGGAATATAATGACAAAGCCAAGTGTAGAAGAATCTTGAATACATATTAATTTCATCGACAAATCTCGGACATTGTGCAACACATTCCATTACTGGACACTTTCCTCCGGATAGCGAAACGCATGACTGTGAATTTGTATATTGCAAGCCAACAATACGTTCATCATTTGGACATTTTTGTGGTACCTAAAGAAAACCATTCATTTCATCAACAATTGTTAGAAATATTTCAGTTCACAATTCGAAAGAAAAGCTATTTACCAAACAGGACGGAATCGGAGACATTAGGAATCCGCGGTCAAATTTAAAGCATTTACATGAAGTGAAATGATAAAGAGAAAGTTCATAGAGTATTTCAAGTGTAACCGAAACAATTTTTTAGAACGGTCTGAGAATTTCTTATACTTGAATGGGAAACCAACCGTACAACAAATTCCTTGTAGACAAGCGACGGATTCTTTAGTGAACGGAAGACATTGTTGAGATTGGATACAACCAATCACGAGAGCTCTTCCGCCATTACTACAAATTAGTGGAGCTTGATAGGGTAGTTCCTGATTTGGTGCAACATGCACCTCTGATACAATCAACCGGATCAGTTGTGTAGGGGCTACATTGTTGAGCACTCGAGCAACCCAAAGCCACAGCATGTCGATCGGCAGGACACTTGAAATCAGCCAAGTCATAGTGTGCCAAAGCAGTGGTCGTTACAAGATTGAATAGAAATTGCATTCTTTCACACTATTATTTCTAAAATGCTAGTACTTTTCTTTTTAAATATTGCAGCAGTGGTTAATTTATAATAAATCATATTCATTGTTGCAAAATATACTCAACTGATATTCCGAGATGCTTTTGTAGGACAATAAAGCAAGAAATTTTAGGAGTCTTAAATTTCTGCCTTTGTTGTTTCATAACATTGAAAGACAACATTGAAATTTTGTCGAATAATTTGAAATATTAGAACAAAGTTCAACCATTAATGCAAAGAAGGAAGTCTTGAATCAAAAAAAAAGTCTGAAATTTTCAATAACACTTGAATTTACAAAATATTTACGCTTTATTGTGGCATCATTTTAATGAATGAGAATGCTCACAGAGCGACAACATGAGGACAGTAAGAAAAACCAACAAAAGCTCAAGCAGAAAACAACACATTCGATTTGATTGTACAGATGGAAGAATGCATTTTGGATTGCCGTAAGGATTTTTAGTTCATAATATTTGTTAGAGCGATCAGTGTACCAATAATTTTTCGGATTGAACTCTTTGCTTTCGAATTTAACAATTTGATCCTCTGATAAGATACCTATGTCAGATCAGAAAAGAGCGCTGCTCTAACATTTCTTAAGTTTAATTGTTGGCTATTGTATGATCAAATCAAAAGCGGTGTTTGTCTGTTTTTATAGCTTCAGTTTATTTATCGACTGAGCTTCTAATAATCCCCGTTGAATTATTCGGTTATTTTACGCTGGTAATCTATTGTAATTTCAAATTCATCCATTACTGACTTCTGAGATGAAAGTTAGCTTTTAAAACAATCATATTGACTGATTTGTATACTCTTCTCGATTTTCTTATCTTCTTTTCTTGAATTTTCGGCGTTAAACGCCGAAATAATCTATTTTTCATCACTTCGTCCTAATTTAATAATTGAGGAACAACCAAATTATCAGATTCTTTTTATAAGGTCAAATTATTCCTGGACGAGGAAGAAATTTCCCAAGCATTACTTCATGAACGAACGCTAATGATCCGTCATCGCGTTATATCAATTTCTATTAAACTAAATTTACATTAACACTTCAAATTCCAGTCCATTTCTCAAAATTAAATATTTGCTGACAATATCACAGAAAAGAATGTTCATTAATAGAAAATTTAGGTGAAATGAGCAGGAAAATAATTAGGAAGTCGATAAGCACAACATATACGCTGTACACATAATACCGGGAGTCCTTGTGCTAAGCATTCGCATGATTTTGAATTGTCACATCCCAGGCCAATTACTTCACCGCCATATGGACATTGTTGAGGTACCTAAAAGTTTTGTGTAGAAATTATTATTCCATTTTTCTCTTTTGACAATAAAATACAAGAAAAGCTTAATTAAACTTTAATTACTTGAATATTTGGTAGTAATCGATATAACTTGTTTTACTTCTTTCCTTATCTCAATTTTCTACTCCTCTTTTATCCTCTATTCAAACCATTCCCTTTTACTAAATTTATTCATTATTTAATGATTTCATTCGGTAATTTATTTGATATTCTTACAATGCAGCACAACTCCTTTTTTGTATGACAAAATTTTGGTTTCAGTTATTTTTTTCTAAATGCTTGTGGTTTCTTAAAAATTTGCACAAACTTACTTTTTTAATTATATAAATATATAGTAATTAGGTATATAAATCTCCACGAAATATTCTATTTTTCTTCAATCATTTGTTCATTTCAAATAGGTTGATGTTACCAGCAGGTTAATTAGCTGACATATGAAACTGGCACCTTAACCAGCAGCTTAATTAACTGATAGATGAAGATGAATCATTGATTTTGTCTCAAAATTATCAAATACAATTATTTGATAATAGAAAACTTTCCGTTATGAAATAAGAGTTATAGTTCAATAAAATGGCGGCCCTTGAGCTCTGTTATTTTTTGGAAGATTTTTTTGGGAGAGTCTTTACCATTTTTATTCACTTTGCTATTAATTTTAATCTATAACTTAAATTCTATTTCTTTTAAGTTAGATAAGCTTCAAATATTTGCTATCCTAGTTTCATTCATTTCACTCCTCCAACTATGAATAATTAGATGAATGCTTTTTTATAGAATAAAACAATTATTATACGTTTTGTTTTGAGAAATAATATTATCAACTTACATCATTCGAACTACCTCGGTTCATTTTTCATCATCAGCCAATAATAATAAATTTTCGATATTTTCGCCAAACAATATGGTATAATACGACATAATATCGTTTTACGATAGTTGTTTATTTAGATTTTAACTTTTAGCATGTGTTATTTTCTTCTGCATCTATTATTCCAAATACTTTTAAAAAAATTTCTGATTCTTAATGATTTATTTATTACATTTTTGATTGCAAAACTAGATTTTCAGCAATACGCAAATATTAGTAAAATTTGTTAATGATTTCATAGCTCAAAATTTTAAAATGCTCTACTAAGGATTATTAACTTGTAAATATGAATTCTAATCAAGTATCGAGTATCAATAACCAAATATAATTTAAACATTTTAAATCTACAACTATTCCATATGAAATTGCATTGTCACCATAATTAAACATTATCTATTCTTATTTTTACTTTGAATATACGTTTCTAATATACGTTAGCCTTCCACATTTATACATTTTCAGGAATATTTATAGATTGTAACAGGTTTTCCGGAATACAAACACGCAGAAGTACACGTACATGTACGCACACTTATATACGTATATGCTGCTTTATTCTTTTCATTCATTTCACATAATCAATCCAATTCGTCCCTACCGGACATTTCCAAATATTCCGGAAAACCTGTTACAATCTATAAATATTTCTGAAAATGTTTCTACGACAGCTGCACAAATGATAGTGTAGCGAAATCAAATGCGTAAATTTTGTTTACAAAACTCATTTTCATGTAAGCACAAACAAAAATATTTGTTATTATTGTTACATTTGTAACAAGAAGTTACTATTCAGTCATCAAAATTTATTTAAATTAATTTGATTCCATGAAAAATACCGAAAAAAGAGAAAGAAAATGTTTTCATTTCATTAAAATATATGAAATTAGAAAGGCTAAACATAAAAATACATTAATTAGCTAACTAGAAAATTTCCACTGAAAAAGTTTTTGAATATTTTTTAACAATGTTAAAAAAATTAAAGTGACTTGATTGTATTATTATTTATTTTTTATTATTAAATTAAAGTGACTTCATTATATTATTGTTTATTTTTTCATTATCATTATCATTATTATTATTATTATTATTATCATCATCATTATTGAATCATAATGAAAATTTATACCAGCATTTTTCTTCTTTCATTTATTAAAGAATACCAAAAATGCATAAGTAGTAAGCATTGATAGTTTTTTATTTTTCGTTTTTTGAAGATTTAGCGTATCATTTCATTTACTTTTTTTCCTTCTTTGATCTTAAATTTAATTACTAATATTGATGCAATCTATTCCAATACATTTTCATTAATATTTTAACTTTTCCTTCTCTCTTCGTTCCTTTCCCTCTCGTCTAATCAATGTGGTTACAACAATAATCTTCAATTTTCTTATCACTAAAATAAATAATCCTTCTAAAACTATTTGTTCGGCTATTTCTAATTTCACTTATCATTTAACAAAGTATTACTACATTAGATTGTTCATTTTTCCAGTTTGTTTGTTTCAGTTATCATCTTTGTATTTTTCCTAATAGCACCAAATTTTTTTTTTTTTTTTTGCTTTCAAAAATGGAATTTGTCAGAATTTCAATTGAATTAAATTCTTCTTAACTTTTTGCTTTAACTTCTTTCATTCCTCAGGAAAATAGTATTTCTTCATTTTTATTTTTGCTAGTGATCAAAATGTCTTAAAAAGATTTGTTTTATTCAAAAAGCATTGATCTGTAATTTGTATAAAATAAATTTCACTGCAGTTGGTGATAACAGCCAGATTCTAGAAAATTATGAAATTTGTATGTTTTCAAGTACTTTTAAGTAAAGTGTTTAAATAGAAGAAGGAAAGTTTGAAAAATCAGACAGAATATAAATGGTAGGAAAATTTTCTTCATTATTATTATCAAGTGAATTCTTTCAATAAAAATTTCAGCGATTTTTAACAATGTTAATAAATTGGTAATAATTACGGTAGTGAATGTTTGCCAACTGCAAACTACTTGTTATTTGTATTTTTATCTCATTATATTGCATTATTTGTTATTGACAAGTATGCAGCACTTCACAAAATTTTGCAGATGACAATCATTGTATTAACTATATTTTGGTTATTATTACCTATTCTTGCTACTAGCATACAATGCATAAATGGTGGTGAATGGGTTGCACATGCATGCACTATGGATGCGCAATGTGAACCGTACAAAATAAAGCCAACGGACCATGTTGTGTGCCTTGACTCGGAATGCTGCACAGTACCATGTTCAAATAATGGTACCTTTACAGGAAAGACATGCGGAACATCATATGATTGCTTGCCGTCAGCGGAAAATGTTGCATGCCTTACAGGATTGTGCTGCACTGTAAGAATATCAAATAAATTACCGAATGAAATCATTAAATAATGAATAAATTTAGTAAAAGGGAATGGTTTGAATAGAGGATAAAAGAGGAGTAGAAAATTGAGATAAGGAAAGAAGTAAAACAAGTTATATCGATTACTACCAAATATTCAAGTAATTAAAGTTTAATTAAGCTTTTCTTGTATTTTATTGTCAAAAGAGAAAAATGGAATAATAATTTCTACACAAAACTTTTAGGTACCTCAACAATGTCCATATGGCGGTGAAGTAATTGGCCTGGGATGTGACAATTCAAAATCATGCGAATGCTTAGCACAAGGACTCCCGGTATTATGTGTACAGCGTATATGTTGTGCTTATCGACTTCCTAATTATTTTCCTGCTCATTTCACCTAAATTTTCTATTAATGAACATTCTTTTCTGTGATATTGTCAGCAAATATTTAATTTTGAGAAATGGACTGGAATTTGAAGTGTTAATGTAAATTTAGTTTAATAGAAATTGATATAACGCGATGACGGATCATTAGCGTTCGTTCATGAAGTAATGCTTGGGAAATTTCTTCCTCGTCCAGGAATAATTTGACCTTATAAAAAGAATCTGATAATTTGGTTGTTCCTCAATTATTAAATTAGGACGAAGTGATGAAAAATAGATTATTTCGGCGTTTAACGCCGAAAATTCAAGAAAAGAAGATAAGAAAATCGAGAAGAGTATACAAATCAGTCAATATGATTGTTTTAAAAGCTAACTTTCATCTCAGAAGTCAGTAATGGATGAATTTGAAATTACAATAGATTACCAGCGTAAAATAACCGAATAATTCAACGGGGATTATTAGAAGCTCAGTCGATAAATAAACTGAAGCTATAAAAACAGACAAACACCGCTTTTGATTTGATCATACAATAGCCAACAATTAAACTTAAGAAATGTTAGAGCAGCGCTCTTTTCTGATCTGACATAGGTATCTTATCAGAGGATCAAATTGTTAAATTCGAAAGCAAAGAGTTCAATCCGAAAAATTATTGGTACACTGATCGCTCTAACAAATATTATGAACTAAAAATCCTTACGGCAATCCAAAATGCATTCTTCCATCTGTACAATCAAATCGAATGTGTTGTTTTCTGCTTGAGCTTTTGTTGGTTTTTCTTACTGTCCTCATGTTGTCGCTCTGTGAGCATTCTCATTCATTAAAATGATGCCACAATAAAGCGTAAATATTTTGTAAATTCAAGTGTTATTGAAAATTTCAGACTTTTTTTTTGATTCAAGACTTCCTTCTTTGCATTAATGGTTGAACTTTGTTCTAATATTTCAAATTATTCGACAAAATTTCAATGTTGTCTTTCAATGTTATGAAACAACAAAGGCAGAAATTTAAGACTCCTAAAATTTCTTGCTTTATTGTCCTACAAAAGCATCTCGGAATATCAGTTGAGTATATTTTGCAACAATGAATATGATTTATTATAAATTAACCACTGCTGCAATATTTAAAAAGAAAAGTACTAGCATTTTAGAAATAATAGTGTGAAAGAATGCAATTTCTATTCAATCTTGTAACGACCACTGCTTTGGCACACTATGACTTGGCTGATTTCAAGTGTCCTGCCGATCGACATGCTGTGGCTTTGGGTTGCTCGAGTGCTCAACAATGTAGCCCCTACACAACTGATCCGGTTGATTGTATCAGAGGTGCATGTTGCACCAAATCAGGAACTACCCTATCAAGCTCCACTAATTTGTAGTAATGGCGGAAGAGCTCTCGTGATTGGTTGTATCCAATCTCAACAATGTCTTCCGTTCACTAAAGAATCCGTCGCTTGTCTACAAGGAATTTGTTGTACGGTTGGTTTCCCATTCAAGTATAAGAAATTCTCAGACCGTTCTAAAAAATTGTTTCGGTTACACTTGAAATACTCTATGAACTTTCTCTTTATCATTTCACTTCATGTAAATGCTTTAAATTTGACCGCGGATTCCTAATGTCTCCGATTCCGTCCTGTTTGGTAAATAGCTTTTCTTTCGAATTGTGAACTGAAATATTTCTAACAATTGTTGATGAAATGAATGGTTTTCTTTAGGTACCACAAAAATGTCCAAATGATGAACGTATTGTTGGCTTGCAATATACAAATTCACAGTCATGCGTTTCGCTATCCGGAGGAAAGTGTCCAGTAATGGAATGTGTTGCACAATGTCCGAGATTTGTCGATGAAATTAATATGTATTCAAGATTCCTCCTTCTACACTTAGCTTTAGTACTATCTCAAATCTTATCAAATTTATTGATTATTTGTATTTCATTACTTATAACTTACCGGCAAACCTTTCCAACTGTAAATGTATCATACTGCAAAGTCGAATGACATATATAAATCTAACATCCCCGTCATTTTGATTGGTCACTATGATACTTATTTCATCATATCAATCAAATTTCGGTCTTTTTTATGTATTCAAAGGGTTATATTCGATTTACATTTGTAGTTGTTATTATCAAACACAGTTTTCACTTTACTTTATTGACTCTTTTGATTTCAATGTTATTGCTTCTCATTTTCTCTTGATATTATTATCTATGCACTTTTTTTCTCTACAATTTTATCAACTTTCTATTAATTCCATCTTCGGTCAAAGCCGTATAATTTCAATTTGAGATGAAGTGAGATGCGTAATCTTTGCAACAATAAATTTGCATCCCTTTTGCATTGTTATTGGTTGACTTTTTAAAATGTCGTATCCTTGAAACAAATTTCGATCTTTTTCAGAAGTTCTAGAAATTTCAGTCATTTTTTGCTTATTGTCATTACTTGTCAAAATGAATAAATCCGATGAAGATGAGACATAAAATAATTTAGAATTTAAAATTCATACTTTTAAAGTTCATTTTGTTTAATATCCGATGAACGCATCAAATGTAAAATGTTGTAATTATTCGGTATGGAACACCTTCTTGCTTCTTTTATCCTTTTTCACCTGCATTATTTATTTATTTCATTACAATCTGTTTAGACTTTTCAGTAAAAAAAAAAAAAAAAAAATAATTCATTAAAAGTCTGAATATCCATTAATTAAATGATGTTGACACTTCTGATGCCAGCTACTTCCATTATTGTGTAGAGACAAATGAATGGAGATTTCAACGACCTACTTTTAAGTCGATACGTTCATAAATTTCTTTAATATTTTGTCGCACAGTTGTATCGCAGCTATAAATAATTAATCATCAAAAAATTTGTTTTTTAAAATATTTATTTCAGTTATTCATAGACTAAATTTAATGAATTAATATTATATGAAATTAAACATCTCATAGATCCAAACATTATCATAACAATTACTCGGATTGTTCTCTTAATAAATGCCACTATATGATTATTCACCATTTATTTCCTATTTTATCAAATTTCATTCTTTCTCAGTTTAACACCACAAAAGTTTCATATAGATCTTTATAATTTAATAGTTAAACGGAACAAAAATTTCAAATTTATCGGCAAATTTATAAACTAACTTTACAAAAAAAAGATAAAAAAAGAATTGAATCACTTATAAAAAGACAATTACTGAATAGAATCCACAAGAAAATAATAAAATAAATTATTTTTACCCAAATAAAAAGTCACAATGAATCTAAACAATATCCATAAATCTGAACTAAATTTACGACAGTTGTAAATACCACACTTTGACCACAATTTGTAATGAACTCTTGCGTAACTCTTACGTACATCATACATATATCATGCTTTATTTTAATATAAATGAACATAAGAAAAAAAAATCAAAAATGTTATAGAAACCGGTTTTAACTTCAACTATACTTATTGATATTAATTTTTTTTAGAATCCGTTCTTCTCTTTTAATTATATTCAAGAAGTTTTGAAGGCTTTTTAATATTTTTGTTGCAAAAAGATGCAGCAATAATAAATAATACCAAATAATTCGCTGTTCTAAATGAAATGACGAAAATTACAATTTACAGTATATTTTTACACAAATTATTTTTTATAAATTCTATTTGCATAATAATTAAAAATATTTTATTAAAAAAAATGACATGATTTATGAAGGAATTATCAAAGTTGAACTTATTTGGTCGCTTTATTTTAACGTGTAGATGTGATCTCAATGAACTAAATTTAGGAAAGCGTGACTGTAATAAAATGTGAATAAAGCATTTTTCTCATCAGTAAAAACAAGTAAAATTGACATCGTAATTATAGGTGGATTTCAGGAATAAACAAAGTTTTAACGATTAAACTTAATTTTACTATCGCAAAGGTATTGCAGTAAAGGTAATTTTAGTATATTACTTATCACTGGCTTTTTCATTAAAAAATTCCTCACTTTCTTTTTTTTCTCTCTCTAATTTCGTAGAAAAATTGTTCACACAAACACTGCTTAAAAGAAACAAATCTGGATTTAAATTTTAATAACTATGAATTTTTAAAAAACATACAATAACAGAAGGAAAAAAAGGACCAATTTAAAATTAAAATTCTCTTAGGAACTTAAATTGGTCAAAATTATATAGCATTATCTTTTACAATTTTCACTTCATTTATGTCACAGAAGGCATAAAATTGGCAATGAAAGAAAAAAAAAACTTGTATTTCAGTAATTGATCAGAACTCTTAGGCAAATTTTCCATTATTAGTAATTTTTAATATAATTAAATTACCACTTCTCAACAATATAAATATTGATACATTACATTTCTGATGCATTTTGTTAGTTGTAACTACAATTTGTCGTATTTAATTGCCTCAATTAATTTCATATTTTCAATACTTTCAAATATTAGCGAAGCGTTCTTTTTTTATCAAATAATATGTTAATAACAGTTATTTATAGCTTGCTTATTTCATTTTATTAGAAAACTAATAAAGTACTAAAAAGTTTTTGTTTACTAATAAGCTTTGTCTTTTATCGAAATCATGCAATTATGCTTTAGCACAAGTGAAGAAATAAATAGAATGAAGAAGAAATTTTTTCCTTCTGCAACAGTTCAATGAATTAATATCAAAGTTATAGTTTTAAGCTAAAATTTCAAGTAAATAATTATAAGTCAAATTTAATTTAAATTTTAATTTTAGTTTACAATTTTTTATTAATTTCTTGCCAATTATTATTAATTTCTTTTAGCCTATCATTTATTTCTAATAATTTTCACTATTACAATATGGTAGACTTTTAATTTTAAATTAAAATTAAAATTTCACTCCTTCAAAATTAAATATATTTTTCTACTTTAAAAAAAAATTTTTTTTAAAATACAATTCACGTTATTTAGATTAACGTCGTCTACATTTTCTATTATATAACTGTTAAATTTTAAAACTCATGTGTTGAACTAAAAAATATTTACACTATAAGGCATATTAACATATGTACATGCAAAAGCACATGCACACGTACGCATAAACACATACAAACATGCATACATGCCAACATACACACATGCACACATACATAACATGCTGCTTGCTATAGCAAAATGTGTTGTCCCCTCTTTTTAAGGCCTTGAACTGACGAAAATCGATCCTTAAAACATTCAATTCTCACGAGGCGATTATTTCGTTTATTCATGTCTGTATGTCTTTCTGTCCGTTTATTTATTTATTTTTTTCCTACTTCTCTCCTCATCTTTTTCTTTTGCTTATTCAGTTGAATATTTTACTGGGCCCAGTCGATTTGAAACTAAGGCAATAGAAGGAGCAGCAAGTTGGCATTACAATGATAGGCTTTCCATTCCATTTCTTTGGCTTATTTCTTACTTTTAATCATAAAATGGATGACTAACCAACTATCTTTGCTATCATAAGCAAAATTTAAAGATGGCTTCTTTTTTCTTTTAAAAAAAGCAAAAGAAAAGTTTCATTAAATTAAAAATCTTTTCTGCGTTTCTTTCTTAAATAAAATTATAGACATATATCTATAATGGTAATATTATTGGAAAAGATTTGAAATGTGGGAAATTCTTACGCATTTTATTTGATTTACTGAATTGTAAAAAAATTAAAAATGAAAAATAACATATTTGTTCATTTTCCGTTTACATTTTTATCCATTCATAATTTTTCACTAAACTTATGATTATTAATTCTTTATTAATTAATGATTATTGCTTCATCGAATCAAATTAATAATTATGCTTGTCATAGAACGTGGTCATTTCTTCATCGAATCACGATTATTTCTTCATCAACTCATGATGTCTTCTTCGTGATTTAAATTTCTCTATGCTTAAAAACTGCTATCAGATTATTGCTAATTTAATCTCTCACTTAATCTCAATTTAATCTTTCTAAATTAAACCATTAAATAGTGCCAATTGTCGCACATTTAGTTACGAAATTACTAACATTTGAAAACTTAAAAAATCAGTGAAAATTTATCAACTGCTGAGCATTTATAATGCTGCTAATATTATTCAAGTTTATTTCGGATTATAATAACTATAATAATACATTGGCTAATATTGAATGGTTAACTAATTAAAGGTTTGCTCGATAATTAATCATTAATCATGATTCATGCATTTCACTATAACTTGAAATTATATATAAGTTATAAATTTGCAAAATATTTCAAATAAGAATGAAATTTTCAGCAATCATTGAAAATTTGAAACTGTAAAAAATGAGGGAAAAATCTACATTTAATACTGAAATTAAGATTTTCTATCTCAAAAATAATTTTATAAATACTTGAAAGTCAAGAATTATAGAATTATGAAAACTTCATCTTTTAATTGTCAGATTTGGTCTGAATTTTCAATATCATATGCCAAAAGAAAGATGGAATAGTGCTACACGAAGGATACACTTCATAATTTCTGATTTATTAAATGTTGTTATTAGAAAATTAAAATTTATAAATCTTTTACTTATTGGTAATGAAATTTCACCTTTTAAAATTTACCTTTTGTTATATACTATTAAAATTAAATTTTACAAATTGATTACATGTTTATAAATTAATTTTATACTTACAATTATTTATGTATTCAAAAATTAATTATCTGTTTATAAATTGGTTTTTTTCTTTAACAAATTAACTATATATATATATTTATAAATCAATTATTTATATAATATATAAATAAACATGCATGATTCGAAAGCATAAAATACTCGCAGAGAAATTTCATTCATTCATTATCGACCGACAATGTATGAAATCTCACACCGTGAATTAATATCAATGTGCGCTAAAATGTTTCCGCTTTAATATCTCAATTAGTTCAAATAACACTTATCCATTGTCTTGTTTTTTCTTTTTTAAATTTGCAATAATAAAAGTAAACAAAAATGCTACTTCATATATTCTTTTTTTTTTTTTCCTTTTTGTTTTTATCACTCTAACTAATATGCCTACTTGCCACTTTAAAATTTGCACTTTTTTTCTTTTTTTGGTAGAATTTTATTTTGCCATTTTAACCAATGCTTCTTTGCTATTTTCAAGTTTGTGTGTCATTTTAGCAAAACTTTGTTTAGTCTGTCACAGTGGACAATTGCTACTAATACTTGTTTTCCTCTTTTTTTCCTCAAATTTCAATTCAAATCTCAATTAGTCCATCCTTCTTCTTTCCTTTTCTTATTATTCTTCCATTTCTCTCTGAGAATTCAGATTTCAAATTCTGTCTGAAACTTCACTTGGTCTTATCATCATTTCTTACTAATTACTATTTCTTCTCTAATTATACTATTTATTAACAATGCTTTTCTATTTATTCTTATCATTAATTATTATTATTCTTTTTTCCTCTTCTTTTCCTCATTTTCCTTTCTTTCTTCTTTCCTCCTTTTCTTATATTCACTAATTATTATTTCTTCTCTGTTATTTATTTATGCATGCATACAATTTCTATTCCATCCAACCATTCATTTAAAGCACATTCATTTGTGCATCTATTCAAATTCGCCACTTTAACTGAGTTATGAAATTAATAAGTAAAACTGAGAAGAAGTAAAGTTAACTTAAATGATTATTCATTCCGTTTCTAATGATTGCTCCAAACTTTTTATGCTTCCATCTTCACCTATGGTATCATTTAAAATTTAAAAAAAAAAAAAAATTAAATGCAATTTTTTGAATTTTATTATAATACTTTACATACGAACCTTTTCTTTTTGTGTTTATTTTATTTATTCATTCTTTCCAAACAAATCTTTCATCCTTTACTTTCAAAAAATATGTATTAGAAAAATTTTTTTTCCGAAAGGAAGCAAAAAATTTTTCAGCAATAAATTTGACAAAAACGGAAACAAAAAATGGCTGGCTTTCTTATGAAACAAATGGTTGGTGGAAAATTGAATGAAATGAAAGGTATGAAGTTTTATTAAAATTCCAAAGTATTATTCCAGCCATTTGCCATATTTTCATAAGTTGAAATGCAACTCAAATTAGTTCTATTAAAGGGAAAAAAGTGAATCTTCTATGATTCAAAAAAAAGAATTTGATTGTAAATGCAATCGTAAATGGAAGTTTTGCCAATAACTTAGGTAAATTAATGCCTATTTTTATTCGATAGGTGGAATTGATAAATTGACCGGTGATAAAGATGGTGAAGGTGGCGAGAAAACAGAATCCGGTGAAGATCCTGAAGTAGAACTCTCAAATTTTACTTTTTTTTCTTTTTGTATTTTTTTTAACAAAAAAAAAAAAAAAGAATTAGATAGTTATGTTTAGTTAATGCCTTTCTGCTATTTTACAATTTAGTATCACTTAATATGTAAAAAAAAAAAAAAAAAAAAAAAAAATTGTTTATTTTACACATTGTCTCATTACTCGTGAGAAATAAAATTTTGAATTAATGCGAAAATTATATTTGAAATTCCATAATGATTTTGAATTCGTAGATATTTATGGCTAATAATTAGTTGTATTTCAATTTCATTTTTCCATCATTAATTACTAATTTAAATAAAAATGCTAATAAAAATGATCATTTGTAGGTTGTAGCAGCACGATTAGAACAGGAAGAACGACGGAAAGAACGTCATCGAAAAATGGAACGAGAACGTGAAAAAATGCGCCAAGATATTCGCTCAAAGGTAGCAAATTCTTTGAATAATTTAATATTTTTAATTTAAAAATTTTTAATACTAAGAAAGATAAAAAAATTCACTTAAAAAAAAATAATTAATAAAAACTTTTCTATCTAATAATTTTTGGTACAAATCTAAAAATTATCATTTAATTCATTACTATTTTTAGTATAACATTCAAAAGAAAGAAGATGGTATCGGCGGTCTACCATTTGACATGTCAATGGATGGTCGTATTGTTGGTCCATCGATAAAGAAAACTCCAGAACAAATTGCGCAAGGAATGGAAGACGACGACAGTAGCATTTTCGCTGATTATTTCGATATTTTCATTAAATTATTTCATTTTTTTGCTCTTACTTAATTGAAATTAATTATTTACTTTCTTAATTTAATTAACTGAACAAAAAACAAATGAAGAAAAAAGAAGTAATATAATAATTAGTGAATTTTGTTGTATTTCTAGATTTTAAGGAGTCTTTCCTTTTTAAAAAATTTTCATTAAAAAGCAATGAACAAATAAATGTTAAATTTTAGGTCTTATCGGTCAACTTGGCTTAACCGAGCAAGTCGAAAAGGCAAAAACTGCCGTGAGTGAAGCATTGGAAACAGTAAAAGGCTTTTTACCATTTGGAAAATAAATTTGTAAAATTATGAAATCGAAAAAAAGTAAAAGGCAATTGTTTTTTTCTTATTACATAATTTTTCAATACAAGAAAATGTATTAATTTCGAATTTCACTTTCATATCTATATATAATTCAAATTATAAGCACAAAAATTGCAAATTATTAGCATAAAAAAAAGAAACCATTAAAGTTAATAATAATAATAGCAAATGAATTTTTAAATTATTCTTAAAAAATTTTTCAAAATAATACATATTTTTATAAGATGACTGCACATCGAAAAATAAGGAAGAAATAAATAAAATAACTGTTAATTAAAGAAAAAATTGAAAATAAAAAATATCACTAAAAGTTTTTGAGTGCACTAAAAAAAAGTTAGTAAAATTTGACTAATAAAAAAATGTTTTGTTTTTTTTTTGTTCGTTTTTCTTTTCATTGATAAATCAATGAAAAGATACCGTGCTCTTAAATATCCTAAGGGCATTTTTTTTTAGCGGCTGCATTTGATTAATTTTAGAAATTTTTTTTCTTTTTTTGATTAAATTATAGTTTTGAGAAAGCTTGCCCTTTCTATATGTTGACATTTTTTTCTTTTCTGTCATCCTAAAAAAGAAAAAAACATCGCTGCTCATTTTCTGAATTGAATTTTTCATTTTATGGGCAATATTTTGAATTCAAAAGAAAAAAAATTTAACCATGTAAACATGAGGCAAAAAAAAAATTTATTGTAATTAAATAATTGTGCTCAATCTTATATGTTTTTTAACTGTATAATTCTGATTAAGATTTTATTAATTAAAATTTCAAATTTTCTGAAATAGATAATATCCTTTAAATTAACAATTCTTTCTCTCTATTGAATAATATGGTTATAATATCGATAAATATGCTACATAGTTATGATCAGAAATTGCATTAATTATAAGTTAAAATTTTCCCTTGAAAAAATGAAATAGTGCAATTTTTACAAATTTTCTCATGAAGAAAGTTCTTCTCCGATGGGATCTTATAAATCTTATTTTAAGTTATTAGTAGTGTTACATAAATTAGCACAATTACTTTGAGTAATAAATTTATTGCATTCGTTTATATTAAATGAATGAAAGAAACGAAATGCAAATGAAGCAAATATTGTTGTTGACATAAGGATAGATGAATTTTATTAATATTTTAGACTTCGATGTTTAATTATAGTATTACTGTAAAACTATTAATTGATTATTTATGTTGATTTTTGCTCGTCACTGTTAGCCTTTTGTTTATATTCATAATGCTATTGAATGCATAATTAATTAACTAATGTGACCTTTTTTTGCCAAAATTTGGTCTTTGATTCGTTTTTATATATAAAAATTTTAATTTCTTATATAAAAATTTTTTAATTAAAAATTCTATTAAGCGTACTTATTTCTAAGAAAAGAAAAAGTAATTAAAAAATTTTAAAGTCAGAAAAAATTTCCTGTTTTTATCTTTTTTCAGATAATAGCAAAAGTTTTTGAAAATATCAGAAAATAAATGTAATTATTGGCATTAATTATTCCAGTCAATTCATCATTTTTTTTATCAGGCGCTTGGTTGATAAAAGAATACTGAATTTGGATTCAAAATTTGTAATAAAATCATTTGCTAAATTACTTCAATAAGTTTGCATAAAATTTTCCTTAATTAATCTAACAAAACCATTATTTGTAAATTTAATTTGAAAGAATTAAAATAAAATTTTATCAAGCATCTCTTTTTATTTGTATCCACTCATAGGTATTTTTCTAACAACCTCAAAAATTTTCTGCAATTAAATTTGGTGAGGAAAAAATTTTATGGCGAAAAAAATAGCGTTAAATATAATTAATTGCATTCCTTACTCTAGTTGATTTGTTGGTTTTTGTGTTATATAACATTAATAAAACGTCTAAGGATTAAATATTTAACGCTTTTTCTCGAGAAAAGATTAAATGAAAGCTGTAATAATGTGCTAATGGATAATGCATGTCACAATGTTATCTCAGATTTTGAAAATAGAAAAGTTTTTTAGTGTGCTTTGATTGAACACACCTTGCATGTGTTATGACTGGAAACATTTTTACGTGTGCTGTAGTGAAAGTTATGTCAAAGTTTGTATATAGTTGTTTATATGGAATAAAATTTAGATATTTAGAAAGTTTAGTAATTATTTGTTAAGAGTTATGCACACTAAATGCTTTGTGTTATTTATGAATGGAATTGAATCAGATAATCGATAATAAAGATTTCAACAAATGACACTATGTTCATCATTTATGACAAGCATCATATCATACAGAGAGAAAAAATCAAAACACATAGTTTGCATAGATTTAAAATTTCTTGTTACTGCAACGTTATTTAATTAGTCGTCTTTTACTCTAAAATTTTTCTTTTATTACACAACCAAAAACCATTCATTGATTCGACGACACTTATATCATTTTATAATAATCAAAAGAATGTGAATAGATTACTATTATCATATGTATTATAAGTCAAATCAAAAAGTTCGAGAGTATCCATGTCAAGCGTTAAGAATTTTAGAAAATTTGTGTGATAGTCAGCAGTCCGAAATCATCTCCTTATCTGTATGAAATACTATAAAAACTGTATATCATCATAATAGCCCATAATTTTTTTTTTCTTTTATTGAATAATTTTTAAGGCAAATATTTTTCTTCTTCAGCACGTTGTTCAAGCAATATTGATTGAGCTATTTCACGTTTTAACGTACGATTACGATGTTCACGATGCGTACGACATGAGCGTACCACAAGTAATATCGTTGTCAATAGCAAAGTCATGCCTAATAAGCCTAAAAAAATGATTTTGAGTGAAAATAACGCTTTTTTTTGCAGCTCAACAAATTTATAATTGTCAAAAATGGTGGTGAAAGAAAAGTTTCAAAAAGATGCTTTTCATAAAAGAGAAAAAAAAAAAAAAAACTAACCATTCAAAATTATCCTTTGAATAATAACCTTCTTAAAAAATACCATTCGAAAAAAAGTAAATAAATAAAAATGAAAAAAACTTCTGAATAAATTTCAAAAAAAAATGATTGCATCAATATTTATTGATATTTTATGTATTATTATTATTTATACAAAATAATTTCTTCATAAGATAAAAACAAATATTTTAAAACTACAATTAATTTTTTAAATTAGGTAGATAATTCTGAATAAATGTTTACCTAAAATAATAACAACAGCCAACGTAGGTGTAATTTGTATACCGTATAGGCTTATTGCAGTTGATTCCTCATGATCTAGCGATGACTCATGTAATGGATATTTGATATAATCAGATCGCTGTTCATTATCATGATCATTAGATATAACCACCTGAGTGATTTCTTGTTACATACAATAAGAGCTGATTGCTTACAGTAGTAAGTGCAAATAATTACAATAGTAATATCACAGAGATTTAATAAAGTAATTAATACTATTAATCAGTTTTTGAAAAAGCTCTAATTAACGCTGCTTGTATATTATCCAAATTTATTGCTGTACCTTTTTTCCTTGTTTTTTTTAATTAAAATACTATATAACGTACTAACTTCTACCTGATCATAAATTAATGAGCTTTGATGAGTACAAATATTGTAGGGATAAAAGGTTGGAGCATGACAAATGCATGTCGTGTTTGCATGCATGCCAAATATTGGCTCACCATTACGACATTGTAATTGGTTGCAAAATGCATTCGGTTGATTGAAACAGCATGTGCATCTGGAAATATGATTTGTATTACCAGTAATTTGAATTCATTGAACAAGAAACTTGAAATCAGTAAAAATTCCTATAATTATAACATACTTAAAGCATAAATCAAAAAAATTGAATTAATTTCTGCTAACAATGAATAGGATAATTTAGTGGTGGTTATGATATTCCTCATGATATAGTGATAATCCAAATAGCATAATCTGATAATCCAAAACATAAATGTTTTTTCATCGATTGAATATGATAATAATTTATAGTTGGTAAATCAATTTGCACTATTTTAAAACAAATCTTGAATTAGTACGCATCAGTAAACAAACTCTTTATGCTGATTCTCAGGCGTGAAATAACATTGTGTCATAAATTGTTGACAATTATTTTCTAATATAAGTTGCCTGAAAAATGAATTTAACAAAATACCATTGTATTTAGACAGAATTAAAACAAAAATATTTTGTTTGAAATGTAAGTAAATTAATTATATCCAGTTAAATATAAAATCTGATTAATGAGTATATAAGTTCATGCAAGTAAATGTAAGACACAAATGAAATGAAGCAAGTTTTGCAGCAATAGAAAGCATGTATACATACACATTTAGTAAATACAAGCAATGTTAACCTGCAAATGCAAACAATTGGTAGCTGATCATCTTCATGCCTTTGCATTTCTGGAACAGCAAGCAAAGATTTATAACGTTCAATTTGCTTGCAAAAATGTGAACGCCAATCGAATGCACATCGACAGGTACGACCAAAAAGTGCGACTAATGTAGGTGTGACAGTATATGGCGTTGCCAATAACGATACTTAAATATAACTTAAAATGTATCTTGAAAAGTGAAAAAGGAAGGAACAAAGTAATAGAAAGGCAAAGCATTATTAATAACAGATACAATAATTAATAAATTAGAGAGCAAAACAAAGGTTAGAATGAGTCAAAAATTGATAGGAGGGAAAGAACTTATTTCAACAAATTTCAATTTGTTTATTCAAATTTATAACACAAAAAAATATGCTACAAATGAAAGATAAAATCTAAAACACAAACGAGTGATATTAATTAATTAATGATAATAATGATGAATTCTGCGTCAGTGTCAGTAAAACTGCATGTGACTAAAGTAATCGATGTTTGATATGGATAATTGCTTTATTTGAATATCTATGAGATAATACTATTAATGAATTTTGAATTTGGTTTTTCTTACTATTTCAATTAATTTTGCTTGTCATAATGATTTACTGCAATTCTTTTATCTCTACCACAACTGATACTGTAATTCATTTATTTACTGTAATGGTACTTATTTTTTTTCATTCATCATGACTTCATCAATAAATAATATTAATGATGAATACTATAAATTGAATAGTACAAATTGTTTGAATGGTAAAAATTAAAATAGAGAAAATTTTGAAAATTTTTATATTCGTTGCAGCATTAAATTAATTATTACCACTATGGCTATTTACTTTTCTCATACACAATTTTTAAACATAGTTTAATTAATAAACATTGATACTAACCGATATTTGATTCACAATATCCACTGTTACCGTTTTTCAACTTAGCTGTCACTAATTGCATTGGCGAATGCACAAATACTACTAAAAATAATAGTAATGGAATGAAGGAAATTGATAGCGATTTATTCCATTTCCAATTGAAGTTCCATTTTTTATATTCATTCCTTTCGTTTCCCATTTGCCAAGCTCTACCATCAGAAACTTTTTCATATCGCCATATTTCCATATTTTTAATTCTTGAAATAATTTCTTCCTCATTTCTAGCAACCATTAATTGTTCGACTGTGGAAATTTTATTATTTAACGAAGGAATTTCAGCTAATTGTTGCTTGTTTCGTAATGATAAATGCCAAAATTTTCTGCGATATGTGATCAAACTCCAAAACTGAACAAATTTCTTCATTGTATATTCATTATCAATTTTTCGCCTATTCTTTTCCTGAATAGAGTGAATAATTCCAGCACAATCGTGCAATTTACTCGTACTCGGAAAATTTTTACACCAAATTTGTTTGGAGTTGAAAATTTCCGTAGAACGTTGATTCGTCATCAACTAATCATGCATCATTTTATGTATGGCTGATCGATGAATAATTCCAAATCTGCAAATTTTAGACTTCATTTTAAAACAAGAAAACATATTTAAAAAATGTATTAAAAATTTGCAATATGCGTTTATTTTAAAATTTAAAACCAGTCCTCCAAACATTATATTCAAATAGAAAATGAATGATTATGTCCATCAAACATTCCGATGAAAAATAAAAGATTATACTGGCTAAACATTCCGATGAAAATAAACAGATTATGTCGGCAATTTTCTTTCAATGATACAAATTTAGCCTAAAACACAGACTGAAATATTAAAATTATCGCCGATAATGCATAAGCATCTATTTCTCTTTTTCTACCAGAAGCACTTATCAACGATGGAATTTTATGAAGTACAATAAAAGAATACAACAAAGATTCACTTCACACTTTTGCAAATTAATTTGATAAAAATAATGGAATGAAAATGTTCACCTGCAAGGTAAAATGTTTGTCTAAAAAAAGAGAAAAATTCATTAAAATTTAAAAATTATAGAAACAGAAAAAGGAGATAATTAGTTACATTCTCATGTAAAAAAAATGGAAAACGACTTTAAATGCTGACAAAAACTAATGCATAAACTTTAATTAATTAAAAAAAGCAATAACATTTCTTTAGATTGTGAGAACCATTTCAATTATTTAATTAACGAACTACTCACATAGATTATTGTTTAAAATAACTTTTAAAACATAGGGAAAAAATGATAGCATAAGTGACAATGAAAAAATACGACATTTCTGCTATCAATGCTACCAAATACGAAGAAACACAAGGCATAAATTATATTTTTGTTAATAATTTTGAAATTAAAATAAATTTCAAATGATTATGTGCATGAACAATTTCGTAATAGTTAAAAAAATTAAAACTGACTTTTGGAAAATAGAGGAGGAATTTATTCATATTCCTAGTTGTAATGAATAATATATTTATTTTAAGATAATTCGTGATGATTGAAATACATGAAAATGATGGTATAAAATATAATTTACTGCCATAAATTACTAAAATAGCATTGCACAATATTACAGTTGTTTTAAGTTAATGCGAGTTATTGTCGTGCTATCATTTTACATAGTTAAATTAACAATAAAATATTCTTGAGTAAAATTATTCAAACAATTGCATATTTTATTAGATTAGCAATGGAAATATCTGTATTTCATCATTGTATAGTATATGCATAAGAAAAAGGATGACAATAAACTATGATAATAATATAATATATAGTTACGAAATTATTTGAGTACTAAAAAGAAATGAAACAAACAAACAATTAAACAATAAATATGCACAAATCAATGTCAAAAAAATTGAACAAAAAAAAACAAAAAGAAATAAATAAACGATAAAATAGTGCTAAAAAATTGAAAAAGAGGGAGAGAAAGAAATACGCAATGCATAAAGAGTCGATTGGTTTTAAGTGATATTTCAATCTCTCATAACAATGTTATATTGAAGAAATCATTGAAATGTCCATAGATAAATGCAAAATAAGATAAAGCATTCCACTATATTAGGAAATAGTAAGTAGTAGTAGTATAGTGCCTAGTAGTAATAATGACAACAGCAGTGACAGCTACTGCTACCTTGCACTTCCTATAAACTAATGTGAAATAATGATAAAGAAATAATTTATAATGTTTTGTAGAGTAATTTGTCCACATTGGCAATGATAATATTTGATAAAAATAAGACTTTATCGAAATTTAGATTATCATTTGGAATGAAAAGCTTTAAAACTATAAATTATTAAAGAAAATGTTCATAAAAAGTTTGAATTAAAAAATGTTAAATTTAAGGTTGCTGTTGTTAGAGCTGCCTGAAATCAAAAAAGAAAAAAAAAAGAACAGATAATGTTATTTGAATATAATGTTAACAAGAAATAATTTACAATGTTTCTAATTATAAATCCACTCCAAATTTAAACACAGTATATAAGATTTTACAAAATTAAAGTTTAAACAAACCAGAATTCTGTGCAATGAAATATTATTCCATATTTAGTAACATTTTATATTGAGCATAGTGCATTTTGTGTGAAAATAAGACAGTCCAATTCAATTGCATAATGCATAGCAAAGGAAATGAAACAAATAGTAAATAGAGTTTAAATAAGTGAATATTTAAATAAATCCGACAAAGAATTAGTAGGGGAAGTATTCAGATAGATAAACACTTAAATATTCATACTTCCATGTTAAGATACCATTCATTTATTTCATAATTAAAGTGTGTAAAAAGAAGAGCATCCCAATTCAACTATTTTATCTATATGTATTACTTTAATTTTATAAAGAAATATTTGAGACTTGTGGAAAAGTTGTCATTCTTGGATTATTAAAACTTAAAATTTTAATATTTCTACCTTATTTAATGCTTATTTCACTAATTTAATAGTTTTTAATTACTTTATACTTATCTCAGAGCCCAGAATACACGTAGCTCGGGAATGGCTAATGAATGAAGGACGCATTAGTTATTTGATAGCTTTAAACTGAATATTTTATTCATTGGAAATGGACAATGACCAATTGAGTGGAATCAAAAAAATGGTCCCTAAGTATCGACAAACAAACGTAAATTATTCTACGATCGTTTGGCATTTCAAATAAATTGGAAGTGCCAATAAAAATACCAGTAAATTAGTGCACTATAAGCTGATGAAAAATGAAAAAAATTGGCGTCTTGAATTATCGCCTTCTTTCATTCTGAAAAAATACAACGAATCATTTATCGATCGAATTGTGACATAACGAAAAATGAATTTTTTAAGACAACTAACACAATTCTCTCAGTAATTAAATGGAAAAGAACCTAATGCACTTAACAAAGTCAAAATTGGACTCTTATTCATTTTTCGTTTTTTATTCTTATTCATTTTGAAAATGTCATCATTTGGTGTCCGCGCCTCACACAGCTTCTTCACTCTTCGTAAAATGATTGCATCTGACTAGGACATCTTCAATCAGTATTGATAAACAAAAAGGGTCTATTCATTTCTACACATAGCATAACCAAAGTTGAATAAATTAGCCTACAAATCCTCGCCTTATTCACCAAAGACCAAATGCACTTTACTTTTACTAGTCAACTACTATTCTTCCAACTTTTCGACGGATGCAAAAAGTGTCTTCCAAAAACTCGTCCTTCGAAATCAGTGGATCATATCCGAAGTGCGCAAGTTTCTATGCAAAGGAATGAAATAAACTTATTACATATTAGCAAAAATGTGTCAATTATCACAGTTCTTAATTTTTCACTGATAACGATGGCGATTTACAAGAAGCGCAATTGCTTCTATTTCAATTTGATATATGACGGCACTTGTCCAATGATATCCATTTTTTGTTTTAAGAAGAAAAATTCATCTATAATTTCCTTATCTATAAATGTTTCAGAATGTTTAAGCATAAACTGTGCGAATTATTATACTGCATTAATTTCTATATCTCTGCTACACATAAATGTTAGTAAAAAAGCAAGTTTACTTTGATAAATACTTGAACACCTATTTCAACTTACGAGTATACGAGTGAATGTTTGATTAAAAAAATTATTTTACTGAAATAAACTGATTTCTTCTTTGAAGTACTTTTTAAAAAGTTTCCGAATTTTTTCTGTGGATTTAACAAATACTTAAAATTTTTTAATTTAGCTTAAATTTAGAATAGAAATTGCTAGTTTATACAAATTCTTTTGCTGTTCACGGGCAATATTCTCGGGTAAATCGTAATTGCTGAAAGCAGTAAGGATGTATTGCAGACTAAACATAAAAACACAGAATATGTACTTACAAAGGCCATATAACTATAAATAGTGATAAAAACATGGGACAGTTACGAATGGCATGATAAAACATGCAAACGTGGAATATAAAACTATTAACCTTTGAAAAAAAATCACTAAGAAAATTATGAAAAACATTAAATAATATACTACATTTATAATAAACAACGGAATGAATGCTTTCAATAATTGTGTTGGCAAAACAATTTTAGAAAGAAAAAAAATGAAGTGATATTAGTTGAAAATAATGAAATATAGATGAAGTTACTAGAGCTAAATATAGCTAATATAAGACGACAATCTATTAAAAAAAGCTTAATGATTTTCCTTCTCTTAAATATTCACATATAAATATTCAGTACTTCGTTTTTTTAATATTGACTTAGACAAAGTTCGACCAATATTGCTGAATTATACGCACTTTTTAAAAAAGCAAAACCCAAATTTAAAATTAAAAGGTAAAATGTTTTTTTTCAGAAATTTTACTTTTATATTTTCATATTTTAATTCTGTTTCCAATTCAGCCAAATTTCATCTATTTTATAATAATGAGCAAAAAGGACAAGTAACACTCAATTGAACTCACATTAAAATTATTAGCAAAACATGGGATATTAGCTTAATGCTTCATAGTAACTAACTCATCAAATATATTTCTCTAGGAAAAAAGGAAGTGACAACAAAACTAAAATTATCTCTTCTTCAATGTTGTGATGAGAATATTGGACAAATGAGGTTTAAAAGAAAAGATTAAACTAATTGACATGAAGACTTTAGACAGCTTTATTTTGAATATAATATTTCAGTTTACTTAACTTACACATAATTTATTGCAAAAAAATAAGGTTTGTTCTAAACGATTGTTCTGTATAACACCATATAATATTTACAAAGATGTAGCAAAAAATTGCATCGTATCTGTGGTATTCCTTTATTGGTATCATTTCATTATGTATCGTAAAAAGAATTCGAATATATTTTAATCGTCATTATCAATCAATAATTATCTACTAGATAACAATAATGATTAACAGTTAACTTTCAGCAGTAATAGGCAAACTTATCACAACTATTATAAAGTTCGTTTAGTATAGAAATGAAAATTTGATAAAAAAAGTGATCATATTATCTCTCAAGACCAGCACCAATCAATACAAAAACATAAC